TGCAGCGCGGTAGATTCTTTTCTCGGTCAGTCCTGACTTCAACAAAAGCAAGATTTTGAAACCAATCGAATCTTTAATAATTAGAGACCGTTTTTACTTTAAGTTTCTTTAGTTATAAGAATTTAAGAGTTGATTAATCCTATCATCAAATCTTATTTACAATATGCATAAACAACAAACTGGTTTGAGAACCTTGATTGCCCCACTTAACCAGCAATGCAATCACACTTTTTCAATTTTATTTTCACTCAACTAGTGATTTTAAGAGTGTTACTAATTCGATTGCGATGAATTCTTCACGATATTAATTACTTTATAAGAGAGCACTCGATTCCAGTATCATAACAAAATGAAAACGACTCACTAAAATACTGCAAAATACTAGCAAGGGTAGCAATGATGCAGACGAGCCATCAGGTTTGCCACCGTTGCATTTTCTTCGGCTTCAGGTATGTTGAGAGTAGTGACCATCTGTTCCGCAACTGTTCTTCATATTAGGAACGCTTGGTTCTCCTTATGAAGACTTCAAGTGATTTTTCTTATATTTTGTCAGGATCGAATTCGGGCAGATGCACATGTGACTCTACGACGGCCCAGTCGTGACGTAGATGAGGGCGAGAAAGTTTTGATTTTGTTACTGCAATAAGATTCTCCATATCCATGACATCTGTGTGTCCACTTGGTCGGTTACATCCCAACTTCTGATAACGGCGGGTAGTCCGAATGGGCTATTACGAAGCCCAAATAGATCGTCCATATCGGAGGACTATCTTTAAAATAACACTGCAGGCGGGTATACCAACGTGGATTTGTTCCATTTTATCACTTTTCTTACGAAAATATAACGAGATGAGCGTGATGTCATCTGATGTCTTTACTCCTCGGCGTTTGGAAACAGAATGTGTGCCAAAATGGCGGCATCATCATCATCATCATCATCAGCCGGAAGACGTCCACTGCTGAACATAGGCCTCCCCCTTTGAACTCCACGACGGATGACATTGCGCCAGCTGCATCCAGCGGCCGCCCGCGACTCGGACGATGTCGTCCGTCCATCTAGTCGGGGGTCGACCCACGCTGCGTCTTCCGGTTCGTGGTCTCCACTCGAGAACCTTTCGTCCCCATTGGTTATCGGTTCGTCGAGCGATATGGCCTGCCCACTGCCACTTCAGCTTACAAACTTTGCGAGCTATGTCGGTCACTCTAGTTCTTTGGCGAATATCCACGTTTCGGATCCTATCGCGCAAAGAAACCCCTAACATGCCTCGCTGAGCGACTCTGAGCTTCTCTAAGAGGCCAGCAGTTAAGGACCACGTTTCAGTGCCATAGGTCATCACTGGCAACACACACTGGTTATACACCTTCGTCTTTGCGGCAACTTGCTTTTTATTAACGAACTGTCAAAGTCAGTGTCACCATTCTAATAAAATTAAGGGTATCGATGATCACGCTCTCTTTACAATCAAGTAATTAAGTAATCGAGTAACTAGCAATTAAAATAAAAGAAACTAAATCAAACGATCTTCGTAATGATATTGCGACATATATATATATATATATATATATTTATATATAAATATATATAAAAATTAACACGATAATAATATGGTGACTTTGAGATAATGCTGCAACCAGGATAGTCTGTAAAGTACCTACTTAACTTCTCGAAAACTAACAGCAGATATATCGTATTTAGGCTTATTTAAAAGGGTTAGAATTATTGATTGTACCTTCCCTGTTTGTTCTCCTCTCCGCGCCTCAAGCAATATACTTTTGTATTATGTATTTTTATTTAATTGCCCTAACATCACATGACAAAATTCATATAATGTCAGGGCAATGTGATAAATAAGGAAATTAAAACATAATTATTTATGGTACCCTAAGTGGCTTATCGTTTTAAATGACTTCATAAAAGGAGGAGGTTCTGAAGTCGTCTTAATGCTAATGTATTACTTGGTCCATAATATAAAAGTGATATAAGTAGATGATAGGTATTCTTCAGAGGCCCGAGAAGCCCTGAGAACACCCGAGACTCATGAATGTGATATGTTTCTCGCCTACCTTTATATTTCTTCTCGCCAAGAAGGCACGGCGTGACTTCTCGGCGTGAGCCTGTACCGCCTATTACGCTTAATACAAGTGAAGAATACAAGCGAATACAGTTGAATCTTATTTACACCCGAAAAGAGCTATTAATGGTAAATGTTTTGATAACATATCCGAATATGGCGAAGCATGACGCAGAGCACGTCAGCGATTTTCAAAATACTCCAAACATGTGTTATTGTAGGCGTATTACTTACATACGCGAGGCAGACTGTAAAGCAGGGATGTTGTTAATATTTTATATCAGATCCGGATACGGGAATGATATTTAAGAAAGTTTGTATTGGTTTCGGTCATGCTTTTTTAGGATTTATTCCTAGAAGTATTACTTTAGGTACCGAAAAATACATTTTTTTTATTTTGTTTTAATAATATTTATTGATTTTGTTATAACAATAAAAGTAGCAAATGAGTTTCAAATATTATTTGAAACTCATTCGCTACTTTTAATTTAAATATTATTTAACGATTTAAATATTATTTAACGATTTATTTTTACAGCGATGTAGAGTCGTTTTCTCCCCTTTTCACACCAATGAGACTTTTCGTATCGCTAGTGCAAAACGCCTTATGTGGGTATACAAAACTGAATGTTGTTAAATTAAATCATTATCACATCTTTTCTCTCTTTTATAACCGCCATTCAGAGCATCGGCTACTAAAAGACTATATTAAAGAACAGTTTACTATTTATATTTTAGGAAAGTTCTAACTATCTACTCATTTTTAAGTGGTACTCATTTTTTTGTGTGTTATAATGTTATGTACAGTTCAAAAACTCCCTATCATCCCTGTTGTAAAGTCAATCAAAAATCATAGCTGGATGTAGTAACATATTTATTTGAACTTAATGGTTGCTGTTGTCAATTAGTCATGCGATAAAGTAACATACACCATTATTACTGAGGTTGTTATTAAGCCCACATTTGTATTTAAGCCCAATCCGACAACGAAAAATATCATTCAGAATGTCTATTCTAAGGAAAAACTTTAACAGGAAGTATTTTTTAGTATATTACATTATCATTAACAGTTTATACCAACTATCGTTATGTAAACAGTTGCATGATTTGATAAAACTTGAAAATGGTACAGATTCAACGACTACATGCATTTTACGAATTCTAGAAAAACATTTTCCCTGTGAAGGATCCATAACTATAATAACAGACAGAAAAGATCATAGCAATCTTATTGGAAATATAAATCATAGAAAATGCTCTAGTGTTATCGTAAGAACGTATCACAAAAAGGGTTGGCTTATTTACAATAACATATATTTAATTTTGAAGACAAATATAGACAACGTCAAAGAATCAATATTAAAGTTAAAGTCAGAATCATTTTGGAACCCCAAAGCTCGTTTTATCATCTCAACGCAAGATTGCACTGATACTGAAATCAATAATTTATTTCAATTATTTCTTACCTACAAAATATACGATGTGATATTTCTCGATGAAGTCAATGCGGACACTTATGTTTATACATATTTCCCTTTTGAAGAGGGAAGATGTGGAGATAATACAGCTCCTGTCAACGTTGGAAACTGTAATGACGCTGTTAATAATACAATCTATTTCCAAAGAAAAAACCTAAAATATTTGCAGAGATGCAAGTTTAAAGTGATGAAGTTTGCCGACAAAAGTATTTTGCCAATCCTAGAGCAATACATTCTTGATGATTTTGCTACTAAAGCTAACTTTACCCTTACATACGAAAAATTAGAAACAGAGAAGAATTTTGGTGTAGTAATGCCGAACGGCACAACTACAGGCCTTTTGGGATATTTGGATAGAAACGAAGCAGACATTGCTATGGGATCTACAGTTTTGATAAAGAATCGGGCAGATTTATTCGACTTCATCAGTGGTTTTAATTTCGCCTCTTTTAAATTGTATTCTTCAGCTGTTGGCGATGAAAGGTGGAAGACCGTATATATGGCATTCGATTTAGAAACGTGGTTTCTAATAATATTTTTCTATTGCATCATGATATCTGTATATATCATTCTGCTTAAATTATCTCCACAAATATCTAACAACCGTGTATATCCTTTTTTACATCTATACGGATACTTTCTTGGCAACGGCATGGAGCCTTTTGCTAAAACGAAAAGACTTAGAACTTTGATAATTTCATGGATTTGGTTTACATTCCTCATAAGCAGTTTTTACAATTCCGATATGTACAGTTTGGTAACTGATCACATGACTTACAAGCGACAAATAAGTCACGATAAATTGACTACCATTCCTTATAAACCCTGCATCAGTCGTGTCATCGGCACTTTCTTCTTTTTCGCTTATAATGAGGTCTTGCCTAAAAGTATTGACAATCCGTTGTGTAACACCATAGACGGGGCTTTTCAGGTTGTAGCTTCTAGCACTGATTTATATACAGTACAGTTAAAATCATCCTACGCTTCCAGAGAAAGCGAATTTTGGGATGTTTATGGAAATCGAATGTTAGACTCTTGGGATTTCACAGCTGACATATTACTTTGCTTTTATGTATACAAAGGGTTTGTTTTAAAAGATCAACTTCAAATGCATGCCCAACGGATGTTTGAAACAGGACTTGTAAACATATACAATAAGTGGTTGATTCCTGAACAAGCAGTTGAGCTTAATCGGAAACAGAAATCGTTCAAACAATTTTTATTAAAAGATTTCCGAATACATTTTGGTATACTGTTTGTAGGGTCCATAATATCTACATTTGTTTTTCTGTACGAAATATACAAAAATAGGAAAGTAACTATGTAATTTCAACATCCGATTAGTTTTAAGAAATATTTATTTTTAGACAAACATAATGAATGTAGTTTGATTATAATAATTATATAACAATTTTTCTTTCATTTTATACTTCTAAGCCTTTAACCAACCAACCAATGGAGCATGCCTAAGCATGCCTAAGCGGAGCATGCCTCATCATATAAATTAACATTGGCAATGCATTACCTAGTGCGCGTGAAAATATAAGAAACAAGTAAAATTCTTCAATCTTCATTTGCCTTTACTATCTTTCTAATTCTTACCATTGCGTTGTTCAATTACACTAGGGATAGTAACGAACACTGACTACTTAAAGAATTATGTTGAATAGTAAATAAAATAAATAATTTATTTAAGAATAAAACACATCAATTAAATTTGTTATAATCACCATAATTTATATACACCATATAAATATAATTAACCTTGAATTCATAACATTTTATTTCAAAATAAAAACAAAATCAAATAACACATCTTAAAAACCATCAATTTTCAATGAAACTAACCTTTTTCGTGCAAAGATTAATATCGCATACAAATGGTGATTTAATTCCGGCTATAAAACCATCCAAACGTAGTGCACACCATAAAAGCTATGATTATAGAGAACAAAACCTGAAATTAAAATAACGTTCTGTAAAATATGTGTAATGCCATGGTAATATTATATAAATAAAACTAGTTCTTTTCACGTGACTTCGATTTATATTGAAGAGCTGTACAAAATTTTATCACTCAAACACAAATTATGAAAAAAAGTCTATTATACCTTGTTTTGCCAACGTCTGTTCTCAACGCACTGGCTGTAAGGCATCGTGGTGAACGTCACCGAATTGTACAGAGGCACCCAAAAGTTGGGGAAAGCCCAAAACATTAAGTCGTCGAAAGCCTTACGAATTCTATACGATGGCCGAGTTACTAGATCCCTCATCTGCAACAAAATATCATCAAATATTTTACGTGATTATTATTATAATTATAGCCATTGTATGACCCAACTGGATCCCAGGCCCTTCCCCCGAAAGTGAGAATGCATCGAAGGGAATTTGGTGAGTATTCAGGCAAATCCATAGGAATCGACAGTCCCACACACCCCCTTTTGCAATGCAGTGCCTAATGTATTCCCCTTACGAAAGGTTATGACCAACTACATATATATTATGAAGACACAAATCCACTATACTAGGCTGATGATATTACAACTTTTGAAACAATCTTTCGTTGCATATAATTTTTAAACAAAGAACTTATACTTATAGACAAACAAGACTAAACTCGACGGGATTGTCTTATTTTATTACAAAGTAGCCATATCTATCTTCCAGTTCCATCATAAGACCCTGAATATTATCTCAAACTAAATTCCTTGTCAAAACAAGGTTCTTCTGAGGTAGTTTATTACAGGTTACTCCTGTAATTACTATCTCAGAAGAACCCCTGTTAATTGACCTTTCGGCTCCATCATCAGATCAATTCCATTCCATATTAATAATGCACTGTCAGCCAAGTTATATATGCATGCAAAATGTAAGTTCTATGAAAAACATGTGTCAAAATCAGCTTTGCCCATACCCATTAAATAACTAACAGGGCAATCGTAAAAACAAATGAATACGTAAGTACAAGCCATAGAGATCTAATTTCCTGTATCTATGTAACAGGCTATAAATAATTTCGGCAAATGGAATTTTGTTTTTACGCTTAACCGTAAATGCCTTACCTCTATGTAGTTATACATTGCCAAATCACTAATTGCATATGTATTTTTCCACCTCATATCCGAAAACTCTTTGAGGACAAAGGACAGGTCATCGTTATATTTCTGAAGAAGCTGATCTAAGAGAGTACAGTCTTCGAAGCCAGCGTTCATCCCTTGCCCATAAAATGGAACTATGGCATGTGCTGCATCTCCAATGATCAATGCTTTATCATCAACATTATAAGGACGGCACTAAAATTTAATATAAAAACGATAATTATGAATAACTAGCAATTTCCTCGCGAATTCTCCCTCTTAAATTATAGCTTACAAGCTTTCGCCAGAGGCTTCGCCCGCGTGGTCCTTAGGGAAATGTTTATTGGGATAAAAAGTATCCTATTATCTCAGTTAGCTAATACCCTATCTGTTACCACATTTCATCAAAATCCGTTCCGTAGTTTTGGCGTGACAAACATCCAAATTCATATTTCATGATCGGATAAGTAATTCCAATGATACACCTACATACAAACAAACAAATATAGAAACGTTTTATAATATTAGTATATATAGTAATTTTTAAACATGATTTCTTTTTCAACATATTCATCAAACATCCTCATTGGTTAATTTATCGTAGGACAATCAGGATTGTCCTTTTACAAGGATTACATATAGTTAACTAGAAGAAAAATAAATATCACAATTATATATAATTTAATTACAATTACCTTAACTGATACCAAGGGAGATGGTGAACCGGCAAAGAAATCCTCCATCAATTTCTTCTGTCCTATCAATTGTACGGAATCAGGAAAATATTTCTCAAAGAATTCTAGAAGCTTCTCCTGTGAATCTAGTTCTTTGAAATTAGTAAATGGCATAAACAACGTCACTGTCCAAGAACAATCTTGATTCGGCAGAGCGATCATCATGAAAGTCCCTCTGGGCCAGATGTGCAAGTAATTCGGTGGCATCTGAAACTAAAAATTCCGCAGCCATATTCATCTGGATTCAGACTGTTAAGAACAAGGTCAACGAATCATCGTTCTAATTCAAAAGAAATTTCTTGAATTTATTTTATCACCTTTGGTTTTTAACTGTATTATTTTAAATTATTTTTTATATTTAAAACAAATGCAAGTCGGATTCCGATACAAAGGGCCATTCCGTTACCATTGTACCATTTCCAATAAAATCATAACTTTTTTGAATAGGAGCCACTTTAAATATTTGTTTTATTCTGTACTAAGTATTTGTTGTTATAGTGGCAACACAAATATATTATCTGTGATAATTATAACTGTCTATCTTCTATCGTTTCATGATATTATCTAGTGATAAACAGACGGACACCGTATTAATAGTAATAGGGTCCCGTATTTACCATTTGGGTGCGGAACTCTAAAAAAACATTCTCAATTAAATACAAAAATAGAAACATATCATAAATCAGTGTACAATAATGAAACTTATTTACGTTCATTAATACAAAATGCCCTGATTTTTGTAAAACATATATCACAAAAATTATTTACCTTATTATTGTAAAACATCTAATTATTTTAGTAGATGTTCTAAAGTCAAGGTGTCACGCGTGTATTTTATTTTACATTACTCCGCCTACTGCAATTTAGTGGTAAATTCTTGATCATTATAATGTCATCTTTGAAAACCAACACTAACAATTTACTTCAAATAGAATAATTAATCAGACAAACAGTTTTCCAGAACCAATAAATGAATTGCGGCGTGTCAACAGTTTAGAACTAGAACGCAACGAGAATGATTTTGAAATATGTTATTGTATTCTTACTTATTATTGATATTACGTGTTTTTCATCTTCTGTTTTTACATATCTATCAACAGCATCTATGTCCAAAGATCAAAAAGAAGATTTAGCAATCCAATGCATTTTGAGAATTATGATGAACCATCTACCTTGCAACGCAATAGTAACAGTGGTATATATAAGGAGCGACGTTAACAATTTTGTAAAAGTTTTAAATAATGAGAACTGTTTTACTACAACATTAAGATCTCTTCAAGATGTCGAATATAATCATGATACTACAGCATATATGATAATCACCGAAAATGCTTCAGACCTATCAGAATTAATGTCTATAATTACAGAAAATGTTCTTTGGGATCCAGAAGCATCTTTTATTGTTTCCACAAAAAACCTACCACAGCAAAACATTACCGACATTTTTGACGTGTTATTGAAATTTAGATTATATTTTGTAATTTTGGTAAACGAAGATATGGACGGCGCTGACATTTACACCTATCTTCCTTTTGAAAATGGCAATTGTGGCCGTAAATATGAGAAAATCGAAAATCTGGGGAATTGTTACGATATCACAGACAATGACTATTTTCCACAACTGAATCTAAATCAGATGAAAAACTGTTCAGTAAAAGTAGTCGTTTCTGAAGATGTACCTAATATAATTGTAGAACCAGATAAAAAAGCCAAAAATGGTTTGAAAATAAGTGGAGTAGAACATTGCCTTTTAAGTATCTTAGCCGAAGCTGCAGGTGTTTACATAGAATATGACGTGCATCGCGCTGACGAGAGCTTCGGAAATGTTCTACCTAACCATACTGTGACTGGTATATTAGGCCAAATCCATAATAATAAAGCGGATATAGCAGCTGGAGGATTTCTATTAATTAAAAACCGTGCAGACGTATTCGCATTTATAGGTTATAGCTTTGCACGCTATCAAATGTACACTGCTGCAATTGACGAACCTATGTGGAAGAAACTTTATAAAGAGTTCGATACCATGACATGGATTCTGATATTAACTTATTTCAGTATTATCACTGTAATTTTTTCTATTGTATTAAAAATACGAACGTTTCAGGAACACACAGATTTGATTCTGAAGGTTTGGAGCTTTTTATATATGGGTAATAGCAATAACAGACTTTTGCGAGTGATCCATTTGCGACCTACTTTGACCTGTTGGATTTGGTTAACATTCTTTTTAACTAACTTCTACACTACAGCGTTGTATAGTTTAGTAACGGCACGTGTTAGACAGACAAGATATGTCATACCAGAACATTTGGAAAATATGAATTTAAAGGCTTGCATAAGTGATCCTATTCAAAGATTTTTCATTTTCGCTTATAATCATAGTTTGCCTGAAAATGTGCCTATCCCCGAATGTAAACTTGTAGGAGCTACATTAGATATCGTAGCTACTAGAAAAGACCTTTTTACAATAGAAATGAGTTACACGTACACTACAAGACAAAATGATTTTATAGACAAAGAAGGAAATAGTAAATTAGACGTTTGGGATTTTGCTATGGCCGATATCCTTACTTTATATTTGGCACGTGGTTTTCCATTGCAACACAATTTCTGGAAAAACTCTTTACACATATTTGAAAGTGGTATATTGGATTATTATCTTGATCATAAATTATTTCAAACTAAATCTGTGATACATAATCATAAAAAGAGAGGTTCGTTAAAAAAAGTTCGGCTAATGGATTTAAATAACCATTTTTTTATACTGCTCTTTGGTTTCGCAACGTCTATATCCTGTTTCATCTTAGAATTTTTATTATTAAAATTAAAGTGTCGTAATAAGTAGTAAGAAATAGGAAAATGTTTAAGTACTTAAGTAGATATTTATTTAAGCCCAATAACTTGCTTATTCATATATATTAGATGTAATCACCTTTCTTTCATAGCTATGAATTTTTAACGTTTGTCAGACATTATTCAACACAAACGCAGGAATAACGCATCACGTTCTTTGCATTGGGTGATGCTGCCACGTAATATTATGATATTGTCAAAGTGTAAGAAAGCGCTTTGGACTTCTACAAGAAAAACCGCATTCGAAACCTTAGTGCTGGAGAGCGAACAAAGATGGTATTCGACTTTATTCAGTCAACTATTATTAATTATTTATCACCAGGTTAAGAAGGATTGTCAATAAAAATGCTTAATCAAAATGCTTCAAAAACCCAAAAGAGATGAGTAACTTACACCACCGTTTTCGTCTGCCGGTATGCACAATTCTAGATATCCATGTTCTATGTACTGTTGGCTGTAATCAAATAAAGGCTGTTTCATCATAGCTTTGCGTACTGCTGAGAAAGCTCCATCGGCACCAATGATCAAGTCGGCGTTAACGGTTATGTTCTCTTTAGAGGTTGTTCTGAAATAAAAAAAGAAACATTTTATCAATAATATTAAATATATACGTAGACGGTGGACTGTCTACATATTTAATATGAAATTAAAACTTCAGGAGCTATATTTTAACGCGAGAACAAGCTCCATGTAGTCTATTGTAAAAAATAATAACATTCTATATTTACTAACGTTTTTGGAAAATGTAATAATTACAAAATAACGCCCTCTGTTTTCTAGTTGCTGTAAAAAAACTGACAACTTATGAGTGAACTAGCATTTCTAGTGGACAAAAGCTGAAATAATGTTACATGAACTTTTAGTAAGTTGCTAGTCGTAGCTAGAGGGTACGGATCAAATAAAGTATAGGAGTCCTCATGAAGACCGCGAATGAACTATTAAAATCTCTGTATGTTATTCAAATTTAGATAATGTAGTGAACCTAAGCCTTTTTTCAAATATTGAAACCGAACGATGATGTAGTTATTGAAGAAAGCCGGAAATAATATTACATAAATATTGCGCCAAAGTCAAATTGTACCCAAGCTAAACGAGTTAACGTTTGTTATTAATACTTAACCATCACAAAACTATATGCATGATTGGTAGGGTTATCGCTAAAATGGTTACGATAATACTATTCATGTACTTAATATGAATGAAGTTCATTAAACAATATTATATACATTTATTTAATATAATATTTATTTTCTCTCTTTAAAAAATACGTATTAAGAAATTTAAAGGCATCGCACATAATGCATGAATGATTTTAATATTATTTACTTGTTTTCTAATTTCAGATAAGATGGACATAGAGGTAAATAAAAAAGTTAATAAATATTTATTATAGTACATATATTATTTTAGTAATTAAACAAAAAGTAAATTAATATATCTAAGTAGGTAATAATAATGAAAGTTATTATATTTCGTACAGCAACTTAAAAAAAAAATATTATTGATTTATTAGATCACATATAAGTACATCATATTTAAAAATTCAAGTTATTGTAAATGAGGAATTATTTAAAAAAAAACATTAGTTCACAAAATCAAACTAGATGTCAATTCGTTTCCTGCAAAAATCAACTTTTGGTAGTGTCGCCATCTAGTGAGGTGCTTTTTAGTGCTTTCTTTTTTTTCTTAAAATACTTCCTCATTGCTTTATCAACGTTACTTTAAACTGTCTGGACGATTTTGGATAATGTTTAATTGCTAATCATATTTCATTGGAGCTAGTTAGAATAAAATACTCCCGTCATCTGGAAAATGTTTTGGAACCACATATAATACTATCTTTATTTGTTATTTCAGATTATAGTACGAAATAGAAATATAGTATTATGAAAAATAATAAAATAACTTACTTTATAAATGTTAATGATCCGTTCTTCAAATTAGCTTCAACCAGCTTGTGATTGAAATATCTCTCAACATTATCATAATTCTCTGATTCTGTAATAAAACACACTATCGTAATATGCAAAACTTTATTTCTACTTATATACAAATAGTAATTGGAAATATGTATATTTAATATTAATTAAATATAAAAAAGATATTGAATGTCATGATTTACAATTTTATAAAGTTAATAATTATGAAGTAATGATTCCCAATTGCAGGTGAAGGTAATGTGTAATTTTTAATTTACATTTAACAGTACATTATAGTCTTTTCCGACGTTCTATCCTTTTCTATCGCTTAGAATCTTCTTTTACTAGAGCGAGAAAGTTGTCAGGTGTCTGATAAAACGCCGCGACATCCTTGAAGCGATAGACAACACGCTACATTTCTCGCTCTAGCAAAGGCGGTTCTGAGCGATACAAAAGGATAGATGAGGGAAAAAGGTGTGCTGCCAGATGTAGCTCAATCATATAACACAGAAAAGAGGTGTGTTCTGTGTGTTCAACCCACAACCCTAAATGAAAAGAAACATGAAAAGTTTGACTTTTATCATGTTAATTTAATTGAGTTGATTTTAAAGATTATGTAATGTTAGCGTATTTATTTATCATTTATTTTTTTATATATGATGATGAATTAATAAATAATAAAACTTATCTAATGTTTTAATTAATTCGCTTTACTACAGCCGCTTTATCGACAGTTAATGATGTCAAATAAGAACATAAGCTTTAAACTATCATCATCATCATCATCATCAACCCTTATACGTCCCCACTGCAGGGGCTCAGGTCTTCCTTATGACTGGTTAAGGAGGATGGGCCATGACCCTCCACGCTGACCCAATGCGGATTGGAAGGTATTAACGACTGCAAATGCAGCCAGGACCAGCGGCTTAACGTGCCTTCTGAAGCACGAAGTAGCTTGAGGTAATAATTTTTTGGTCACCCATCCCGTGACCGACCCTTGCGAAAGTTGCTTAAAAACAACGATCTCGGGCCGCAGCGCTTATCCTCTACGCCATCGAGCTACTCTTACGCTGTTAAACTATCAGCAATTTAAAATTAATAACTATCTTAGATTGGTATGAATGTAGCAGCACATCAATTATGCCATTCTGTAAAAAACAGCCTTTAACTCGACATGGGACTCATAAAGCGTCAATGAAATTAAACCCATATTTCTTATTAAAGTAGATTTTATTTGATTGATCTTCTATTCTATAACAGCGCTGTGCTCGACGTCGAATTCGAGGCTGTTCTTATTATAGAATTCTTATTACCTACTATAAGGACAAATTGCTGCTATAAATTTTAACTTTACTATCAACATGTTAAAGATATTAATCTTTATACAAATCAGTCGCGGCCAAAGTCTATTCATGCGTGTTCAAATATTTTGACCTTTTTGTTGAAATGTTAAAATGATTTAATAAGTATATTAATGGTTACGTACCTTTAAGCAAAAGGCCATTAAGATAATTTCTTCCAACTGAATAAATGCACTGTAAAATAATTACAAATTTCAATCGCTATCTCACATATTATAAGGCGTACAAATTATGATATATATAAAACAAAATAATTCAATCTAAATAGGTAGATATATAAGTTCTTGCCAAAATTCTCACCTGATTAGTCCGGGCGTCGTAAGGTATTACATAAGTGGATCCATCGAGACTGTGTATCATCCTTCCTACCATGGGGATACCGTGGTTTTCAATCATGTGCTGCTCAAGGCCGACATCTTTGAGCGCCCTCCTTCCGCGTATCGACAATGCCAAGTTAATAGATCTTCCACGCGCTTGAGGTGTTTTTCTTATATCTGAAGTAACATAAAAGTATAAATAGGCACATTATAAATTAGTTCATTAACTTTTGGTATCTCTTAAAAAAAATAACCTCGAAATTTAAGACGTTCGTTACGCTACGCTTTGCGATCGTCTTATATTTCTAACATATCACGTGACTAATTTTGATTGTATATTGAGGCAATTTCTTTAACTTTTAGCGTAATCATAAAATTACGGCGTTACATTAAGTTAAAAATGAAATGTATTCACAGCGCACAAATATTGTACTCCAGAACATACGATTTGGGATGAAATTCGAAGGACCAAAAGAGATATTCGACCATTCTGTTATATATAAGCTGCTACTGAGATACTCTAGAAACTGTTATCTGACAGCAAACCGCTTTATAGGTCTTTTCAAATAGCCAGTGGGTAATAGATGCTAGATGATGATGAAAAATTAGGAATTAAACATGTCCTTTTTTTTCTTTTAAAGGAATATTATATATAACATAGCCTCTTCAAATTCGAAACCAAGGTTTCAGTAAAAGGGGTCCGATTAAAGGCGAGTATGCTTATAGCAAAAACAATTATTACGTTAGTAGTGCTTAATAGAAACTACTGTAAACCCAAGAGCTACGATTAAAAGATTCGTACATGTTCAAATTACATTCTCCAAATATCAGAATTACAAAAAAATAAGAGATAGAGAAGAATTACAGAATTTTAGTTAGATCCAAATCTTATTACACTATTTTGCAAAAATTGAGAAAAAAATGTTAATACAAATACTCCGTCAAACCCAGTTAATAATCAAGCATACTGTATGCAAACAACGATAACGATTATTTTATTAAGGTCAATTACTAGATTTTATTATATACAACAAACATCGGTGGTTATTGTTGCATTTACAACTTTATTGCAGCAATAGAGATGCAATCATGTAAGACCTTTATTACCTACCAGGTGAGAGCGCTATACTTGACTCGATCTTAATATCTTGTGCAAAGGACCTGCCTATGTGTTAACAAAAAGATTAATTGCAAAAGATTTATAACTATTAATTAATAACAAAAACATCCTGCCTACTAATACCTACGCTAACAAAATTGACACAAAAGGATTTATCTACTTGGTGATTGGATATTTTTTCAGGTATCACACAATGCTACTGAAAGAAAAAAAAAAGGAAATTAAGTGCTTATCTTATTAACGATATTTTTGAAAAATAAATGTGAAAAAATGTATATAAACTTGATCGTGTTATAAACTAACCTCCTCGATATTCGTAAAGTCGTACTCGATGTCCCCTTTTGGCAAGGTACAATGCTTCTAAGGAGCCCACCTGCAAAAATATTACCTTTTTTACTTATAACTGCATAACATAAACCATTTTGCAACTTTCGCATAATTTCTCCAAGCATTATATTATTCAATCATAACATCTTTAATCTGGTTCATATAATAAACTTATACCTTTATCACCGACCGCTACCGCGGCACGATTGCCTCGATTATTGGTTCACTTTTGTTTTTATTATAGTCTATGATTTGGTCCCAGCTCTAACCTAAATAATTGATCAATTCTTTCATGTCTAAGAAAAAAGCCTAAAAGATATATCCAGAATGCTAAAAGAAAGTTTCCCTAATGAGGAACTATTTTAAGAAAATAAAGAAAGCACTAAAAAGCACCCCACTAGATGGCGACTCAACCAAAAGTCATTTCCATTCCTTTTAACTAACATATTAAAAAACCGAATTTTGCAAAGCTTGAAACTTAGATATCAATACAAATACGAAAACGTAAAAATAGAATATGAGTTGTTTATTGAGTTTATGGAGGGTTGTCATGGAGAAGTCAAGAAAGTACCCTAGCGACATCTAGTTCGCTTATTAATATTATAATTCATTAACATTTTTTTTACAATTGTACAACAAAGTAAAATAAAAAATACATAAAAAACATGCAAACACTCAAACATTACACAAAAATTCTAGAAAAAAGTATATATCTCTCTCAATCTATTCCATCATACTTATACAAGAAGACTTAGGTTGTATTTCTTAATTATTCGTTGGGTAAGATGCACTGACCACTATAGAACTCCTCCAGAGCATAGAAACAACCGGCTAACAGAAATTGTCTCAATTTCGTTTTAAACCTAATAGGACTTTCGATCGCTTTCAACTTCGTCGGTAGGGCGTTTTAAAGTTGTCTGATAACTGTCTGATATCGACTACAATGCTTTACGATATCTTATTTTGGGTGAATCGAAATCTATATGTCTTTTTTTTCTGCTACTTAATCTCATCTTCCTAGATGTTGCTATTTCGTAGTTATAATTATACTTCAAAATAAGGATTCATTCATAAATAAATAAGGATACTAAGGTCTCTATTTCCCTACAAGACTCCCATGGTGGTGATCACAATAGTTCGTATTGCCTCTTCTGCAGTACAAATGCATTTTTCATATTATAAGAATAGCTGTTTCCCCAAAACTTTACGCCATACCTCAATTTTGACTCAAGGAGATTATAATATATATACATACTTCAATTGGCCCACATCAATCAAATCTCTCAAACATCGCAACGCATAACAAGCTGAACTGATATAGTCTTCCATTGATTTAATTTCTCGATTCCAGTTAACATTCATCAATATAAATGCCGAAGAATTATATGCAAGTAGTTGTCTCTACCAACTAACCATTACATTGAGCAATGATGGTATCTTGTTTTTTAGTAGTGAGCTTAAACAATATAAGATTGGTCTTTTTAGTATTGAGTAAGACAAGACAAGAGAATTATTCACTAAATGCCGGAAGCGCATTATTAATATTGCTGGAAAGGTCTTCCAATATTTCGGGAACTAATGTTTTTTATTTTAAAAACTTCCTCATTCCGTTGGGGCACAATCAGCGCTAAAAAATCCGAACCTAGACCGCCGCACATTACTACACTTGCGCTTCCATGGGAGCCCGAGGCCAGGTTGGGAATTAAATACCATAGATACAGAAAGACATCTCCCTCCGAACAACAATATTGAAATCCTTGATAATTGACTTATTTGATTTAAACAGGTGTAACTTAATTTTTGAAATGAAATGAAAATGTCTTTATTCAAGTAAGCTTTTTCCAAGCACTTTTGAATCGTCCAAAAATTTTTTTTCCTCTACCACTTGTTCAAGACGTTTTTAGCTGACAAGAAGAACAAGCGAAAGAAACTTACCAGCTCTTTATCATAAGTAATGACATTTACATAAATCATTTGATTACCAATATAATACGTATCATAACAATAATAAATACAATTTTCAAAGTAGGACATATAATTAGTCGTTATAGAACAAAGCGAAGGCTATTGATTCCATGCATTGCGTCCTTAAAATAATCATCAAATTTATAATTACTCATATGTTCTTTACGTGAATTTAAAATTTGTTTATGGGTAGGTCAATTACGTTTTGTGTAACTTTATTGAACATAGCAATGCATTTACCCAAAATTGATCCTCTGGTTTTTTGAAGTCTGAAACTTGGAACGGCAAGTTTATTTTTATTTCTTGTGTCAAGATTATGAACACTATTTTTTTTGTGAAGGAATCGTAATGTTTTCTTGCGTACATAATATTTTCATATATGTATTGAGAGGCAACAGTCAAAATATTTATTTCTTTAAATAGTTCTCTGAGAGATTCCATAGACCGTAAATTAATATAGCGCGGACAGCTCTCTTTTGTAGAATAAAAATATCTTGAATGCTAGCCGCAGAACCCCACAACTAAGATCTTCCACGTACGTCATATGTCATACGTCATTACACTATGGAAATAACTAAAATATACCAATCTTGCCGTTTCAACATTTGTCAAGAGTCTAATTTTCTTAACAGCAAAAGCTGCAGAACTCAGTCTACTTGACAAGTTATCAATGTGAGGATTCCATTGCAGTCGAGAATCTAGAGTAATTCCGAGGAACTTTAGCGATTCTATCAACTCAACTTGTTCACTAATTACATTTATAAATGTACTAACATGCCTCACATTAGGTAATGCAATATCGACCTTGTATCGTCTGAACTTTATCAGTGTTGATTAGGTACCAAAACGTGAGATTTTCGTCATATATATTACTATCGGAAATAGGTCAAGCATTCGAATTAAGGCAAATACCTATTTATTATTTGTTCAATACTTTTGTCCTGACGTGCTATCGACAGTACCTACACTACAATACTGAAATTTATCAATTCATTGATACTGACATCATCAATTAACCGTCAACTAGGGTTTCAGTGACCAATACTTAGGCCACAGAAACCCTCATTTGCCAATTAAAAGACCACCTAGATTCTAACAAAACGTATCTACATCTCAAAACAAACGGGACTGGGACGAATTAAGCTCGAAGATAACTTACAAATTACATATGACTGATTAATCAATAAGATATTTCGTGAGTAGGTGGGTAGAAATATAAAAATAAAAAACATTATAGGTTACCTACAATACTTGGTAGCATTGAAAAAATTACCTGTATGGCAATTCTAGTAATATTTGCGTTATTATAACAGCGTTTCAACTACAAATCTTTATCACAAAGTTCTTGTTACTAGAACACAAAATAATATCTGTCACCTTTGCTTTGAGACGAAGACATTGCACTTGATAAGCTATCGCGCGCGGCACGCGATAGGTGTCGTTAAGCAACTTTCGCAAGGGTTGGTCACGAGATGGGTGACCAAAAAATTATTATCTCGAGCTACTCCGTGCTTCGGAAGGGCACGTTAAGCCGTTGGTCTCAGCTGCATTTGTAGTCGTTAATACCCGCCAATCTGCATTGGGCCAGCGTGGAGGGTCATGACCCATGCTCCTTAACCATCCATAAGGAAGGCCTGAACCCCTGCAGTGGGGACGAAATAAAGGGTTGATGATGATGATTGCATTTATAATATTGGACTACAGGTAGACAGTGTACAATCACAAAATACGAGCAATTGAGATTCTTTCGGGATACGAAATTAGCAGAATTAATGCCCAGCAATTACGACTTTAGTTTATGGTCCAATTTGTGATACAAGCTAACCTCAGTTCGATAAATGATAAATGTCATATTATACATTACACCATGAAATCATCTTTTATTTATTATTATTATTCTTCCTTAGGAATCTTTATTAGAATTCTTTCTGGTTTAAAATTTAAGACAATTATTTACAGCGTATTAATTTCATTAATGAATTCATCACCATCATCGCCAGTCTATTAATTCCTCAACTGCTGGGTTTCAGACCTTCCCTGTGGATATAATCGAATCAAATTGAATTATTAATATTCCATCTCATTTGCCAGTGTTACAACCAAAGAAGGTTTTATAGGTAAGATTCTAAATATTTGTATTGTTATCGAAACCACCTTCTGATAAAAGGCCGGTATTTAGAAAGGTGAACTTGCAACAGAGCCTACGTGTGTAATTAGATAATTATTTTACCTACCTACTATTAGTTCTCTTTTACAATTTCGACCTTATCGTATTGCACTTTAACGAAACTATGTTGAGTCGCATCACCGACTGCGGCCATCTGGTCAGATTATTCGTAAAAAAAAATAACCAACCTAACTACCAACATAAGTTTTTCCTAATATCTGTGATAAAAAAATAAAAAGCTTTCGCTCTTGATTAAAAAAAACCCTGTTCCTTTTCATAATACATAAATATATTAACTTTTTAATTAAATAAATTACGTCGATGTTGCTAGTCTAAAAGTAAAGTTAATTATTTTTATAAATAATTCCCGAGTATTAGTCATTTTTTAAATTTAATTTACAAATCCGTCTCCTCACTAAAGCCATTTCCGATACCACCCTAGGAACTTCGAATTATACTTAAACAAAAACACAAAATCACTTTTGAAACTTACCAAACCTCCACCGACCACGACAATATCCAATTTCTTGGCGTTTCCATTCTGCAATGTGGCCATAACTAAATCTAATCATAAACTAGTTACTTTGAAATATATTTATTTATCTGATCATCTATTAACATATGACAATAATGCTATTTGAACATGCTACCCGTCCAAAGTCACAAACAATACTGAGATCGAGCGGATTTTCCGCCACTTATATTAATTATATACTTATTTATGCATGTCCAAAGCTGGAAATTTTTACATATTTATTAATATAATGAAGTAACATTTTAATCGTTATATCATGAGATAAATATTTTCTGAACAAAAAGCAAAATACACATACAAGTTGACTGAATAAAAAAAAATTACTTCATTTACATACTTTAAATTTACAAAATTAAACGGCCTCAGACAACTCGAGACGGGACTTCAGATGACTTCTGTCTGCATATTTGCTATCGTCATCGGCATATTTATTTCTTCCTTCCCAATGGATCGAATTGAATAGAATCAAAAAGGGAGTATGGGCCATTCATACCCACCACGGACCCAGTGCGGTTTGGTGGGTTAACGACCGCAGATGCAGACGAGACCATCAACGGCTTAAGCACGGAGAAGATCAATATAATAAATTTTTGATTACCCATCCCATAATTGGTCCTAATGAAAGTTGCTGAACTTCGCTAACTACTACGTCATTGAGGTCCACGTATCATAAGATTGATAAGCAAGATAAATACCTACCTAACAAATGACAATCCAAATAATTCATTTGCCCGACCCCAATAATGAAAGAAAGCACACGCGACATATTGATTATTAAGGACAATAGAAATTCGATCTGTTCAAGTTATTTGAGCCAAAGCCGCAGTTTCAATTTTCTTCATCGACTTGTACAGTTAGCGAAAAAACAAATGAGCAACTAGTTCAATTTAAAAGACACGATTGTCAAAATCAAACTAAAATATAAAAGAAACAAGTTGTATTATGGCTTGGTTACACATAATTATCATTGCAGTAGAGGGACCTCTTAAATTACAAATTTGTGTTTAGCAAAGCTATAATACAACTTGTCCCATTTATTTTCAACTTGCTCGTACTCGCCAGCAAGTATTTATTTGTTAACTGTACCGAGTGTTAAACACAACTGTCAATAGATTACGTCATCAAAATGGCAGCCAGGCGCATTGGTTATTTATAGGGATTATTATACATATAAGTATAATATTTCACCACTACTTTCGACAATGTTAAAAAATTATCTTCTACCCTGGTTAACAACAAAACAAATATTTTTTGTCTTCAAAACTTCAATAATCAAATTTTGACATATAAATTTCAATATTAACATATAAATTAGGGTGTTTCGATAATTCTTTTGTTGAAAAAAGTTTGAAAATAACAAAAAAAAAGTTGATCAATCATTATAACCCTATTTTGGGGATTACACATAAATATTTAATTAATTAATAAATAATTTAAATGTGCCAATAAAATTATTTGCTGTCTGTACTTATTGTTTTCAAATTACATTACGATGGTGATTATTAGGCAAGGTTCAAGTACAGGAATATATCTATATTAATTCAATGAAATGAGGTTTACTTATTTATTACTCATATTTTCAGGCCACTATCGATAAGTAAAGCAAGTTTTAAACGTTTGTATTTTTCTTTTATTGACGTTTCAGACCCTTTAAAGAAACGTTTTCAATACGGAACCTATAAAGGGTCTGTAATGTCAATAAATGAAAAAATATCAAAGCGTTTTAAATTTGTTTCATATATGAGGTTGCTATCTATTAGTCTATTATAACAAGTAATAAATATTCAACAATTTCAATCCAAAACATAGGTACTCGCCAACCACTGTTTCGTAACAGAACGCAACTCTCAATAGATTAAGTCACCAAAATGGCAGACAGGCATATTAATAATTTGCGGGAATTATACAGTCTAGAAAAGAGGTCTAGGGCTCGTTGTTCAATACTCTGCTATCTCTTCACTTTATTTACAACGTTAATACATTGAAATGAATCTAAGCCAACTATGTGTGCGTGTATTTGCGTATGCATAATGCATATCATACTGTTTGATATCATAAAACACAATTCATAAACAAGCGTCAAGTCATATTATTTCATATTATCGGCAAACATTTGTTTAGATTAAATAAAACGATATAATTTTATTACTTATGTTTTATTAATATAAATCACGTCTCTTGTTAAACTTTTACTCTTATATTATTTTTAAACTTACTTTATAATATATTTATAGGATCAAGTAAGGAGATCTATTTAAAAACTCATATTGGAAGGCATCGTCGAAATATCTTCAGAGGGACTTTGACTCGAGCTGAAGGAACTTAAGGTTTCTCTGGTCTCCTCTTTTATTTTGAGTTGATCTGTGGTAGAAGGCGGTCGTGGTAGCAAAGATCTGTCTTTTTCTTTGTGCTCCTTGTCTTTGGATTTTTCCTTACTACTGTGCTTGTGTTTATGTTTGTGTTTGTGCTTCTTTTTGTCTTTCTTCTTCTTCTTGGCCTGTCAAAATAAAATTTTATTGTGGAACTTTCTGGGAAAATAATACTTATTATTATAATGGTTCAGTTCAAAAAATTATTACCTTAGGTGCGCCCATTTCATCTTTAACTTCATGCCGGAACATACCAGGTTCAAAGCCAATGGGTCCTGAAGAACCGGGAATACCGGGAAGCGGCACCGCATTGTCCGTAAGAAATTCTCGTTTTGTGTCATCCTAAGGAAGAAAAAAATGTTCTGTAATTTTTTTATTTATTTTAAGCATTGAAATAAAGTTACTTTGAGACTATACCTATATGTTACCACATACAGGACTACTATTGTTACAACCAGTTACACTAACGTGTATTAAAATTGTCATTTGTTTAAAACGACATTACCCATACAAATTTGATATACATTAGAACTTAATGGCGTCATTTAAACCTCAATGGACGTTTGTGCAACCGTCAAATAAAAGAACCATTATAATTTAATCGCAATGTTTCTAGGTGGTTTAATATTAAAACTGATTAAAATCCTCCATTTGTGGGTCTACTGAATTAAATTCGACTAACATTTCTGTTTTAAGAAGAAATGTGAATATTTTTACTCTGATTTATTACTTTCATCTCATAATGAAATTTAAATAGACTTTTTTTAAATGACGAAAGTAGTAATACCATTACAACTCCGGGAATAAATGTGCACACTAGTTTATTAATAAATTTCATTTCAGTTCAGTTCATTTCAGCAAAAAATTTTTTTTTCAGAAAATTAATGTTTTGAGTGTTTAATTACAAATTGTGAAGTTGTTGTATAATTAGGTAGTCACAATTGTGTTAAAATAAATACCTTCGTTATTTATATTCAACCTTCCGGTAGAAGTAATAAGAGTGTTTTTATCCTTACAATAAACAATAATATGAAACTGTCATGAATATATTAAAAAACTCACCCCAAAGTCGGTCGGTGTATCATGTACAGTGGTCACGTCAATTTTGACGTCTTCCTCTTTAATACTAGAGATGGGCACAGGTAATAAGTCTTCTTTCCTCTCCGGCACTAACGGCACCTGTGTCTCTTGCAATGGACCCACTTCGGTCTCCATTTTTATCTGATAACAACACAAAGAACATTATCACGTAGGGTTTCCTAATTGTGCTATAGAAGTAAACTAGGTGGAGTGTAAAGTAACATGCATGCGGCGGAAAAGGGGAAAGGCAAGCGAGCCAGTGTTACCAGTTCGGACTTGCATAAATACATGCGTGACAAACATAAAACGTTTACTAAGTTTAGTACCATGTTTAAGTCATTATCCAATCAAAATAAGTCAACACGTCACAATTTGAGATTTCCAAATGTCATTGTCAATTTGCTTTATCAATGGTAAAAACCGCGTACTAAATTTTGTACTCGTTTTATAACAAGACGGATAATGTTAATAATAGATACATGAGAAGACACTTAAGCGTTTATCTTCAAAAACGTAACTCAAATTGAGATTGAAAATATTTATGTTAATTGAGCAACATTTCAAAATTAGTATAATACTACTAGCTTTCCGCCAGCGGCTTCGATCGCGTGCTCTCTAGGGAACTGTCCCTATTTGGATCGGATATCATGATACGGATATAATTACAATGACAAATTGTATAGTAAACAATGGTTACTATGGTAACGTTTTAATTCCCTATACAAAATTCCACTCTCATTTTCATCCCTTGGTTTACTATTTTAAGGTATAAAATATAGCCTGTGTTCACCGCATATGATGTAGTTTCCCATAGGTGAAGGATTTTTTAAAATTGGTCCATTAGTTTCAGAACAAACAAACAATCAAATCTTTCCTCTTTATAATATTAGAATTGTAGACAATTACTATATGCATAGCCAGTCAATTTGCGAGCTAATTTTAAATTATTCTAGAAACAAATTGCAGACATAAAACTCTAGTTTAAATATAATATTAGGTATTATTTAATGAGCTAGAACAATATACCAACAGCGCGCAAGATAAATACTATGTGCTCAAATCTAAACCTTAAATTCTTTTAACGTTTTATGGTAACTAAATGTTGCTGTGTGTATATTCAACGTAAAGTTCATCGAAATCCAAAATATTAATTTTAAACTTTAACATATTTAAAATTAAGCTCAAAATAACTATAATTATGGAAATTCTTCAATGTGAATGTTAGATTTTTTAATAACCCGATGTAGTATTGTAGTCATGATGGCCAAGATACATTTATTTCCCTTTAACCCTTACTTACATCCTCGATCTCCTGTTTGATAACGGGCTTCAATTCTAACTCCTTCTGTCTCTCTTTCTCCTTTTCCCTCTCTCGCTCCCTCTCTAGTCGGTCTCGCTCTTTATGATGCATCTGTTTCATCATTGCCTGTATTTCAGGTAGCGGCACACATATCGGTCTCTTTGGACCATACAACGTGTAGTAGAGATCAACAAGGTCGCAACGAAGACGCGCGTCGTTTGATAGGTGACTGTTCATATTATTCCATAACCTAAAAATCATCCATTTTTAATATTGAGAGTTCTATCTTTAAAACTCTCATAATCTTGAAATTTTAGTCTGTACAACATACACACTTTATAAACCTACTAAATTATTTTTAATCTGTTATTTGTTGTACATAATTGAATGTTGTTGTTTTTTTCTCTACACCAATAATACAAGATATATCTTTAATCAAGTTAACTTATTTAGTATGAACCTTGAGCTTTTGATATTTTTTTATTACAATTTACAACTTATCCTATTCTTACGAATTAAAATGACACCAGAAGGCCTATTCTATCCTTTCGACAGCGAAATTCCGTCCATTTTGTAGCCGTTAATACGACTCCGAAGAAACACATTTTTCGATAATTTATAATACAACGGTGTTAGCACCTAACACTGCCTCTGATGCACAAATATCCTTCGCGGATGTGATTTTAACAAAATTATAAGGACGATAAGACTACGCTCTCTGTAGGCTAATTGTGTTAATGTTAATAGAATCTTAAGTACTTTAATTTTGCCATTGTACCATCCAACTGAAGTCCAATATTATTTCTGCTATGTCTTCCTCACACATCAATGATGACAGATATGAAAATAATATCGGACTTCAGGTAAATAGTACAATAGACAAATGCAAGTATTTGAGATTCTATTACGATGCGATTATTATGTAAACATTAGCTAAATAGACTTACTACCCTACGATTTTGTGAAAATCCAGACCCATAATTCGAATTAACTCAGGTGTCCGTATTCACTTCAAAAAGCGGCATCCGCTTAATCATGAATTGGTAATAACGTTTCGTGGTATAAGTGAAGTGAATGTCCAAATCAGATAGGAATAGAATATCTGAGACACGTATATACAAAAAATGGAATTAATAGAATTTGGAATATTACTACTACTTACTAAATCACATGAATTCGGACACATGAGTGAATTCGAACACATGAGTGAATTCGAATTCGGGACTGAATTTTTACAGAATCGCAAGGCTGGTGTCATGGTAGTGGGGAAAATGCACGTTTTTTGAAAATGTTTTCATATGATACATCTTTATATAACTGTAAAAAATACCTGATACCGAAAAACTAAAATTTAATAACAATAATAATTGATGAAAATGAGTAATAATTATGAACAGTTTAAACGCCGGAATTTTTGGCGCACTTGTCGTGACGTCAAAGAACACGTCTAAAGATATAACAACATTTTTGATAAATATGGCTTTTGAGTGATTGATGATTATTCAAGTACCCTAATAGATTTTATTAAGTATAATAGACCTTATCAATAATCATATAGGTTATCAAATTGGTGAAATAAAAATAAAAGCCTAAATCATCATTTAAATTGTAATCTGTTGTTTATTTTGCGACATAATACATCAATGTTAATACATTGATGTTAAGTTTTTGATACAACGACATTGCGTACATTTTCGTCACACCCGCTCTGACAAGTAGAATGGCGTTTGAATATTTTGAAATTACCGCATTTTTTACATTTCGTTAATTATTTCCAAGACGAAAACGAACTAATGTCGAATAAAATTTAGATAGACTTTATTCTAAAGCAATAATGATCATAATAAAATATACTTGTCTTTATTTTTAATCAGACTCAAATTCCCTATTTGTGCGAGTTATAGGCAGTTTAAGATATATAAGATATATATTGACATACCTATGTACAACAGCTTCTGTGTCCAGACGATGTCTCTGCGCTCTCTCGAAGGGCGGGTTACTGATCAACAGTCTGGCTAATCCATGCCTCACACATGGGTCTGGATCACTTTCTACGGTGGTCAGTAAGGAAGACAGGTCCTCAGGTTTACCGTCCACTCGGACAAAGTCCACTAAACACTCGAAAGCGGCCAGTCTTACATCTACAAAAAAGCAAATAGTACAGATTTCTCGAGGTTGGAAAAAATGGACGATTTAAAAGTACTTTAAATAATTTCGACTTTGGACTTTGTAGTTTGAAAAATCCAATTTCAAAATATAAAAGCAATTTCACATACAATAATAAGAAAACTGTAATTATTGAAATTATCACAAAGCACCACATAGTCAAAGTCAAGATAATCTTTATTTATATAAACATAAGGTTTTGCTTTAATTATATCATTTTTTTATGTCATCATGACGTATGTGTCTTTCGAATTTACTTGGTGCATAGACAAAATAATATTTGTTGACCATAAAACACATCACAATCTGTTTGAAGCTCTGCCTCTAACAGAATAAGGTTTAGAATAGGACATAATAAGACTGAACGAAGTAGAGTAGAATATATTAGAATAATTCATTTGCTTCTGCGTTAAGTAGGTACAGTAAACTAACAGTAAAGACATTTTTGGATAACATTACATTTGTCGTATAAAAAATTATTGCGTGTACATAAAAATATATTTATAGTGATTCCAAGTTTTCACTGGAACACCAAAAGTAGGTAATTATATAATCTCACCAATATATTGTCCATATTGTGCGTATGCTCTGAAAATGGTTGGTATACTAGGAAGATGGCCACACTGCTGCAACCGCCTTATCGCACGTAGACAGCTAACTGTAACAGTGTTCTTATAGCATGGCAACACTTTCTCTAAATTCAGGACCCTTGTTATTTCTTCAAGTACTAACTTCGTATCGGCAGACAGTGAGTCTACCGTTATAGGTGCTCCCTAGAATTATACCATGTAAATAAATATGCCAATATAGTACTTATCTACTTAAATATATTAATAAGCATATGATGATTATGATTAGTACTTACAGGTTGTAACACCGATATAACAGGAGTGATTGTGGCAGCAAGAGCGTCCACTAACGCCGCTTTGTAGTAGTTATCAGAGAAATGATTTTTAGAATTGTCGTTGTACTTGAACAGATCTAACAAAAACCTTATTACCTCTGGAGGACAAATACCATGGATATTCCTCAAACCTGGATAAAATCATAAATAGATATTTATTAATCAATAATGAATCATCATAGATTTAGAAGCTAGGTATAATAGTACTCAACTAGCTGACAACTTGCAAATGTGCAGCAATGATATATTATTGTTATTATGATAGAGAATATTCTATCTATTCCAATAGATAGATATAATAAAAGAAAAGTGTTATTGTATCCATAAACTAACGCTCTTTCTATAGCTCGATCGCCGAACAGAAATAATTTCATACAATGACCTGGACTACATATATCTCAAACTCGTGCGCAAACTTATTGCTATTGCGCTCGCGCAAATGCATCTGGCTAATTCGGTCATTGTAAAGTTAACTTTAAATGTTTGATCTCAAAGGTCAGCGTACGCAATTTTTCTAGTTCGACGACATATATAATTGTAAACGAAAACAATATTAAATTCCTACTATCTTTGCTCACTACTCTGCGAATGAAGTTTGGCTTTTATAAAAAACTGTTTACTACATGTGCCAGTGCTGCAAACTGGCGATAGAATGTCGCATTAATGCATTCTATTGTTGCGTACAATGTTTACGTAATAATATATATACAACGACTTTTACGCTAGAAAACGCAAAATTGTTCTGAGCATTCTTTAAATTTTCATAAAAATGTTGATGGGTACAAACAGACAAAATAAGCTACTTGACTACTTTTTTATTACATAAACAAATAGTCCATTAATATCTGATAAATAATGTAGAAAGTTAAGTTTCATAGTTTCGGAAATATGGTGCTGTTTGTGGAACTGCTGCTAGTCGTTTACAGCCAAACGCTCCCTACAAATTTAAGCCACGAAGTGACGTCACGCCTTGCAACGGTGGCAAAAAAACGTATGGATGTCTTGGTAATATCTTTGTAATTTGTGCGTTTACGTTTAGAGTTGTTATAATGGAAGTTGTAACATTTAAGAAACTAATTTATTGCCATATGTATTTTAAGATATTTCTGTAAACTATTTCCCAAGTTTTTTTCAAATTTTCAAAGCGTAATTTTTTCCAAAATAGTGTTATTTAATTTATTTTGGTAAATATTTCTAACTTAAAATGGTTCATATTTTCCGAACATATAACGGAAACCTGTATTTTCAGTTGTAGGGCACCACCCTATTAGTCCGTAATGTTAGTTCAATATTAAATACAACTTCATTGCGTCCAATAAAATTAATTATGCTTTAGAATTACAGCGATTTTTAAAATTCTTTCACCTATGGAAAGCTATATATGTATAGCTTCCCGTGGTGTGGGTAACATAGTCTAATATACGCAAGCGAAGGCGCGCCAATACAGCTAGTAGTGTATAAAACTTACCCGCCATTGCGACCGGTATAGTTTTCTGTAGGAAATAATGTTGGAGATTGTCGAAGTTGTTCTGTTTTATTATATGTGGTGCTGAGAAAGATCCAAACATCTTTCGGAAGATCGTAAGCATCGCTGGTGGTCCCGCCCAGGAGCTAATCATTGAGTTGGCTACCTGTTCAAGTCCAAAAAAACTTCTTTAATCACTATTAATATTAATAAAATAAATTTAGTAGGGAATTAAATGTTAGAGCCTGCCACCTCAGGTTCTCGCTTCACTCAAAGTTTCCAGGTTTAGGTAATTCATGTAGTTAATGCATATGTATTTGAGATAATAAAAAATAAATGTGATTATGACGGAGTAGCTCGACAGCCCTATGATTAGAGCGATCGTTTTGGCTAGGCGAGATGGGAGAACCAAATTTATTTTTCTCGTACTCCTCCATGTTTTGGAGGGTCCGTTAAACCGTTGGTCCTGGCTGCATCTGTAGTCCATACCCACCAGTCCACACTCAGCCCGCGTGGTGGTTCATGCCTATTCAATTCTATCTTATGTACAGGGTGGACCGCTCCCCCTCCCTCCCCCCCAAAGTGTTTGCCCATGATTACCTGTATGTAAAAACCTTCACCTCACCTTGGTCAAACAATGTGCCGCCCTGCATCTTATCCTATAAAACGTCTGCTCATTCTCTATGGTGTCAGTGAGCGCTTTCCTCGTCGCTGTCTCTGGGTAATTGTGAAGGGCATCTATGGCCTCGCTCTGCGCTGTGACGTCACGCTCGTGACGTAACTGATATTGCCACTGGTAGTCAGGCTGCGATATCACCGTACTCCGCAAGAGGGACATTTCGGGGTCGAGACGGATCCACAAGACAGGTGAATCGCTAAAATGTATATAACCATACTTTATTATGTAAATAAAAACAACAATAAAACGCATTTGTACCATTTTTAGGTTTCATCAAAAAAGCCTAATAAATCACCCACTAAATCTCTTAGACAGGGCTTGTAAACGGTGCAAAAGTATCTGTTAATAAAGATTATTTAACAATAAATTACGCCCGAGTTCACAATTACCATTACAAAACAATTCTATACTAATTTTGTAAAGACACAAGATTTCGTTTTTTTTTAAATACTCTTATCATAAGAATCTTACATTACCCCTGATTTTAAATTTTTTCAACTTTATATTTATTTTAGATAAATACCCATGAAGAGTCGAGGTGGAACATTGTAAATGTAAAGGGTTGTAAATTATTAGTATATTAAATGACCACCATGTACCGTGGCTAGCAAACAGGTTTCAAAATCCACTATCTCCTGGCCAGGTCTATATAAAATGAACTGTTCTATGTTGTTTCGGGTATGTATTTTTATATTCTCATAATCGAAGTGCTTATGTTACTTTGAATCTTTTCTAATGGGGGATGAATGTTTTCTAATATTTTTTTCCTCATCTAATTTGGTACTCACTGTGTTTATTTATTTATTTATTCCTCACGTTTGGAGTGATACGCAGTTTGTACTAGGACAAAAGCTATTGGATACTTTTGTTCATTTATAAATGATGTCACTGATAGCAACACAAATATTTCGCTAAGTGTTATAAATATTTTTAAGGTATTTATGTTTTTGTAAAACTCCTGAAAACATTCTAAAGCAGTATCTTTAGCCATAACCTCAAGAATGTTGAATGGGTTTACCACCACGGCTTACACCACACACCATATTTAAGCACTCTTTAAGCTAATGTTTAAGACTCCGACTGGCCAGGTCAACATCTGTATAGGTAATGGCCCTTGTTAATCTACATTAAACTGAAAGAGGTCCCAGTTTTGGCTTTAAGTGTTTGATAATAGGGGTGACTTTTTAAATATTATTATTTTATAGATATACATGATACATATAAAAAAAATATATTAAAAATTAATTCAATTTTCAAGATTTCCCGATTAAACGCTAACTTCTGTCATGGCGTCGCTATGACGTCATGCCCCTCTTAAATTAATATCGTGCTATATATACTTAGGGTTTAATTCTCTATGTTCTGATGTGAGAATAGGGGCGTAACATCACGCGCTGTTTATGGTCACATGACAACGAGTATGAAATATTTGTTTTTTCATAATTAATGTAAGTAATATTACAAATATAATAAGCATTAAAGTTTGATTATCGGTGATAGTATATTTACAGGTACACACTACCAGAAAAAAGATCTATTTATTTTCGTTGAATGTTTACACCCCTATCGTCAATAGTAAGGAACCATGCCCTTGTTACGGCTCCTTGTGGATATCTATATTTAACATACAATATTTAGTTATTTAAACTCACTCCATAGCAGAGAGATCCATGTCGACCTCCTCCCCGGTACAAAGGGGTATCTTCTTCTTTTTATTCCGCCTACTCTTGCTGTGGCAGGTGATGTCGGCTTTGACTACCGTGTTTTCTATCTGAAGCGTATGTTTGAACGGTCCGTCCAACTCCTGCAGTTGTACTAACAACGGACCGACGTATTTCCGTATACCGCGCTCGTGGACGCAATCTTGACGTATCTCAAGTTCTACCGTGTTCCTGTAAAAATAATAAAACTTTTCAATCTGAAAACTGTCTAATAATAATATTGTATAATGTGAGATGAAAAATGTAAGTTGTAAAAAAGAAATTTACCTCATGAAAGATTTTACCTTAACTTACAATGAAGAAATGGTTTTAATGCAAAATCTCTATACCGAAGCATTATATATTTATACTCTCCATCATCTATGTAAATAATAATAATAATCACTTTATTTCTGTCATAATAGCTACAACGTGCGCGCGCATGTGTGTTCGTGTATGAGTGTCAATGAAAAAAGGAAAAAGAAAACATAAACAGAATTGTGTTGTTCTAGAGGGAATCGGTATGTTTGATAATTAATTTCCCATGTTGATGATTTAATAAGGTTTTCGATTTCCTCATACCTCATTTTAATAAAAAGACTCAATCAACCTCCTACTGTTTAATAATTTTATGTAACAATTTAAAGTGAAACGATAATGGTGGGGATGTTAATAACATTCGTAGTAACATTCCCAATGGCCGTTATAGAATTGTTGACTAAAATTTTATTATCATGACCTGCTCTGCGATTCTGTAAAAATCCAAACCTGAATTCGAATTCACTGATGTGTTCGAATTCACGTCTAAATTTTCCATATTTTGTATACAAATACAAAACAAAATTTATCGATTATACGTGTCACGGATATTATATTCCTATATAATTTTGAAACTCACTTCACTCATGACATGAAACGTTATTACCAATTTAAAATTGACCGGATGCCGGTTTTTGAAGTGAATTCGGGTTTGGATTATTACAGAATCGCAGGGTTGATCTATGGTTGGAACAGCGCATTAAACCATCGGTCCCTACAGGCTCTGAATTCGTTTGGGACTAGCCCTCGAGGACGATCCACCATCTAGGAAAAGGCTGTTATCCACCCAAATCTTTTCCTTCCCGCAGAAGGCGACTCTTCTCCACCTTCCGCAAGAGTTGTTCCAGCGCGACGGATTAAACCGAGCCCTTTTACATATGCTACCGGGTTCCTCCTATCCGCAGCGAGTTTTACCAAATAGGCCAACCACATCCAATCCCATCTGCCCTTTTCAGGCTGCTGTCTTCGTTAACACCCATAAATTCACACTGGGCTATATTCGAATCGAGATACACTGAATACGAAATAATTACAAACCTCTTTCTATTAAACACTGATGTAAGTTGAAACTTGGCGTGACCGCCGGTGCGCACCCACTGATCCACGAACACGGCCATATGCTTCCCCGTGACGGTAAATATTGCCTTCACAAATGAGTTGGTCGATAATAGAAGCTGACCCCATAAACCACTACCGATCTTGGTATTAGCGGCAGTTGTAGCGAGGGACAGTTGCTTATTAAACACTTGCAGGAGCAACTCTTGACCGATGCGTTGTTCTAACATGCGCAAAACTAAATGGGACTTCTTTCTCATAACCTGAGGAAATAATACATTGTCAGGGTAAAAGCGGTAGTGCAAAAGAAGTAGGAGTGTAGACAACTTTTTTGTTATTTTTATTTTATACATGAAATATACATAAAAAATATATTTGAAAAGAATATTATTCATATAAGTTAAAATCTATAAATACTTATCAATCTAAATTAAAAATACTTGAAGGTTTGGAAATGATGATTAATTTTTTCTTTTTTTTATTGTTTGAGTATTTTTCGCGTGTCTAAAAAATTGATAGAATTTTTATTTAATTTATGTTTTTTGTAACTTATTTAAATTAATAACTTAAAAATGCTTTTACAAAGAGTAGAATACCCAAGTATAAGCAAAATGTAGAATAATAATTTTGAAATGAGTACCGGATTCCGCATAAACATTAATATAAATTTCAATAAACAAGGGTCAAGATCAACTCAAGATTTGAGAATTACTATAATTAGTATCTAGCACAAATATTCATACTCCCAACATGCATATCACATTCTTTATTACTCTTTATTGCACATAAAGAACGTACAAAAAAGTGTCAAGTAAAAGTAATCACAAAGGTGGGCTTATCTCTATTAAAGATCTCTTCCAGCCAACCAAGATGTTGTGAGAGAGAATGATGTTTGCGGGTGACACAAGTGCAGTGAATCAGTGATGTGATTATTATTAAGAAAATATAGTACTACTACTACTATTATTACCGTTAAGAAAAAAAATATTAAACAAATATATATAATAAATATGTCACACACAATACATCATATATATAACAAACAAATATAGCCCTACATAAAAACATATATAAGAAGTGTGAATACATTATCATGAATACCGACATTATGCTAGCTAGTATTTTCTGAATTTGGTTTTAAAAATGATGATGGAAGGGCAATCCTTGTCTGAGTATTCACATTTTAATGGATATAATTTTTGCTGATGGCATGACATGATAAGCTTCTAATATGTAATTATTTCTTCCCCTAAATCCATATGTAAAAAGAACAAAATATACCTAACAGTATAAGATGGTAAAATAAAAATATTTTTTACAATATATTTAATTTAATACATTTAATGCACATTGGCACTTACCTCAATATATCTTGGTGACATAGTATGTACGTTTCGCACAGGAAAATAGAACATATCTTTTGGTTCTACCCTGGCACCACTAGCGGGAGGTTGCCAAGGATCTAAAACTATGCCACCATATTGTTCTTCATAACTTACAACCTGCAAATAAACATAGAGCACTTAGTAAAAAAGTGTATTCATATGTTAATGGAAATATAATATATTGAACCAGTTATCTAGTAAACACAATATCGCCTACTACTTTATAAGTCAGCTTAGTTCATGCAATTATAAAGAGAATGTGACATATGGACCTGCAAATACATAATATCAAAAAAATATATATATTCAAGTCTAGAATATTTGGAATCTAAACATTAGCATTGTTAAAATAAAAACACTTTGATTTTAATTACGAAATGGCGGTCTTTAAAATATTTGTAAGAATTTAAGTTGTTTTAAAATATTTGTAAGAATTTAAATACGTACCTCAGTCAATTCTTGATGTATCCAATACCTGTATTCATTGTTACCAAAACATTTTTTTGCATATAAACCACACAAATAATCTGGTATCCCTTTAGCCAGCCATAAGTCTGACCAATTCTGCATTGTGATGAAGCAACCAAAGAATTGTTCAGCCACAGCTTGGGCCATTGCTTTACGACTGATGTATGTCTGATCAATTATTGCAATAGAATGGAGTAAGTGAGTACTTAATATAGACATAGTTGTATAAGCCGTAACATCATCTTCTGTCTGAAATATATTAATATCCTTTTTAATAGTAAACAGGTAGCTTTTACAGATTTTATGGCTGAATGAGTAGTATAACCAATCAAAGTGCAATAATACTTGGCAATGTTGGACTATGAACCTTGTGGACCACTGGGGATCGGACAACTTTCTAAAAAGTGTTTTAAATTTGTCATTATGGGTGCTTATACCCACAGAAACCCAAAAATATATTTTTAAAAAACCATGTAAGCGGAGACTTGTGGGACTTGACGTCATTTGTGGGGATTTTAAGAACAAAAGGGATTTTTAAAGTCACAAATAAATACTACAATAAACAAAACTTTGTAACCTGTTGAAAAACAAATAAATCATTATTTTGCACTTTGAATGTTTCCTGCACTTTTCTTAGATTGTTTTACTATCAATTTACCTACAAATCTCGTGACGCACTTGATTGTATTTGATTTAATAATACAAATAATTTTAAATTTAGTAAAAACATTCAGAGAATTTTTTTTAACCACATACAACTTAATTTTTTATAGGTATCCATGTGAGTGTGATGTGTGTGAGTGATGACCTCAGAACCAAATTGGGGGGATAGTTGTGTCGCCAACAAAATTAACACAGCAGTACTAATACCATGCTCATAATAAAAATAATTGCTTTAGCACAAGCCTTCCCTAAATATAATATATAGGGAGAATAGACCTTAACCCAACACATAGCAAGTATAGAACACTTACTTCATCCACGAACACCTGTTTATAACTAGGATAAGGATATCTGGTGTTGAGAGTTTCTTCATAAAATCCAAATGCCTCATGTAAGTAACGAACAGTATTTTTTAAAATTTGCATCAAATTGGGCAAACAATAATGAGTCACTTCATTCATATGTGGATCTACATAAGTTTCAAAAGGCCTAAAAAAGAAAAGTATTGGGTAAATATACATATTTATTGACTAAATAAATAATATTTAGAATAACACTATTTGTTTATTCAGCCTTGGCTGTTGACAGGCCCTAGTGGCAATCAAAATGTGACTACACAATTGGTTTGCTTTGTCAGCAAGAATCAAGGGCTCACTTGCTTAAGAAAAGGTTTTAATGGTTAAGATGCCAACTTGCACTTACCCAATGGCCAGAGCTATGTTCGGGGCACATGCTGGAGTATTTACAATGTAATGAAATGTCTTTCTTCTGTGATCAGGTGTATACACCACATCAACTAGTTCCCCACAAGATACTGCTGTCAAACTTTCATCAACAGTAAATTCTAACTTCCAAGTGCAAGGCTCTGCATAGCTGTCCACACAAGGAAACCAAAGACGGGCTGAATGCCCATATGTGAACATGTGAGCTGATTTCTAAAACATATTGTTAATGTCAGAAAATTTTAGGTTATTATTAATAATATTGCAAATCTAAAGGAAGATCCAAATGGGTTTAATGAAAGTATGCATTAGTACATGATAGAATTTCCATTGACTGTATTAGCAAGGTTGGTTTGTCAGTTGTAACTTCCACTACCGACAATATCACTACAAATCTTTCATGAAATATGCACCAACTTATACTAAATTAGCAAATATTCTATAAAATATATTAAATATGCCTTGCAAAGTGTACAATAAATAAAAATATCATCATACTTGTTTAACTTGTTTAATATCATAAACTGTTTCTTGTGTACAAATAAATTATGCAATATGATAAATTACAAATTCCATGATTTCTAATTAATTACATTTGTCATCAACAATCTATTAATGTTGCCATTGTCGTAGCAGAGGCTTTCACTATGTGTAGTCATTAAGTTAAAAAATCATCACACAATACAATCCGTATTGCATATAGGAGGGTTTACTAATTAAATTAACAAAATTCAAATGACAAAATACTGATACCTCAACTAAAGAGCCTTCTCCTTCAGGTACAACAAAATGTAGCCCTCCCTGTGGGGACTCCAATGAAAACTCTATTCCAATACGAAGTCCCCGTCCTTCACCAACTAAGTGAGCTGCCTCATCTGGCACTTGTATGTGGAGTTCACCAGAGTTATGATCAGGATCAATCTTTTGAGCTGCTGCCAAATGATATTGGGAGAAAACTTCCAAAGATCTCCTATGAAAATAAAAATGCTTAAGATGTTTCAGACTACAGTAACCTTAGTATCATCTATGAAACATGCACAATACATTGTGAAGTAGAAATCTTTGGACTGTAATCAAGCATAAATGGAAAAAACAGTTGTAGAGATACACTTACTGCCCATTGTACACAGTTTCATTAAAATTGATATTAGTTTAAACTTAATGGACAATTGTGCAATAGAGCGACATCAATAACTTAATCTTAATGACCTGAGTGGTCCATCATGTTTGATGTTTGAACTTGATGAGTCCATCATGTTTGATATTACTTACGTATTAGGGTCAGACTGACAGATGTCCAGGAAAGGGTCACAGTACTGAAAATTGGCTTCATACTGGTCATTTAAGCAAACACGGTAAATACGACACTGCTTGGCATTCAGGCGAATATACCGCAAGTTGTCTTTCAACGGTACGACAGTGAGCTCAACAAATCCCTGTCAACAAAGCGATAACGTTGGCATAAACATTCTGCAAAAGGAATTGTTCTGATAATGAAGCTGTCACTACTTACAATAATACTTCTCCTTTCGAAGCTAATACCAGTTAAGCTTAAAATTTGATGAGCTGTAAAAGTTTCAAAGATTACAATTATTTATGCATCGTAAAAACAACATTTTTATTAATTAAAGTAAAAAATACTTATAATTTAAACGGACGACAATTGTCGCCCGTGCGTTCTTTCTTCATTTTACCAGCGTGTTGAATCAATTTTGAATCCACTATAGCTTAATCGTAAACATTATCATTTAATAAATTAAGTGCGCGTCAGACTGCGTACAAAACAAAAATGGTCCGCCGCACAGACTATATGACTTGTCAGCATAGAGAACGGTAATATACTGGGAATAGAGAACCAACTCAAGCTTTTTTTTTGTTAATCGGATTGAGCTCGTAGCGACACCTGGTAACATTATTCCACAACTCTGGTCCAATATATATATCCATACGTACATCCTTCGTACATCTATTCTATATCATACATTATCTATCGCAATTTCCAATACTTTGTAAACAGTGCTTTAATTTCACAAATGTATAATAATAAATATATCATTATACTTATTTATGAAATCAAGTACTGATTACAAAGTATTGAAATTATATATAAGTTTAGGAAAATAAGAAATAAAACACTCAAATTTATTTGTATTTTTATTGTGTTGATGACCAATAAAATACATTCGTGCATTAGTTTTGGTGAAATCATCACCATCATTTAACAGTTTCCCTGATAAAATTCTATTGACAGATTGACTAACAATATAAAATTAAATCAATATTAAATGTTTCCAAATTAATATAGTTCTAAATTTTGAGGTTTAATTTTAAAATAAACATAATAAAACATTTAAAAGAGTTTATAGAACATTATGATAAATATAATTTTGTTAAGTTGGTGTAGGTCTGTCAATCGAATTTTATTAGGGAAATTATAGATTACTGGATTATTCAAACAAAACTAACGCACTAATATATAAAAGTTGTCTAACAAAAAAAAAAATGTGGGCGTTTTATTTATTATTTTCCTACAAGCAATGCTTTGTAATCAGGACTTAAATTTTAGAAAATTATAATGAAAAGTAATATATTTCCTTATCATTTAATTTATGAAATCAAAATACTGATTACAAAGCATTGCATGTAGAGTGTAGGAAAATAATAAATGAATCACTTACACTTATTTCTTATTTTTATTGTGTTGATGACGATTATAATACATTTGGGCATTAGTTTTGGTTAAATCATCTCCGTCATATAACAGTTTTCCTGATAAAATTCGATTGATAGACCGACACTAACTATACAAAATTATGTTTATTGTAGTGTCTTCAAAATATTTTTTTAAATGTGTTTTATGTTTTTTGCAATTAAAAACATTAAAATTTACCAATATTTCATTTAAAAGCTTTATATTTGATTTGATTTTGTGTGGTTCAACTTTCCCCTTCAAAACATTTTTTACTATATTCTGAATTTCACTGAAACACTGTATTAATGCTTCAGATGGGTAGCAAAGCCATTTCTTGTTTTTTTCATATTCTTTGCATCGAATATATCTGTTGATATTTTCTTTATCCATTAAATGGGTTTTGCAGATTTGACATCCTTTAATAATTTTAATGCAGCACTTTTTCAGGACCCAACCACAAACATATGATTGAGGATCATTTTGTTCAATAATTTTGCCACTCAACATTTCTTCATTTATGCAAATATCTTCTATGCCTTTCTTATTAGAAGAACTTTCTTCTTCTTTATCATTAGCGCTCAGTAAAAAGTCGACAGACTGCAGATATGTGCTCATGTCATCTTCGCAATTTGTTTTAATTGAGTGGGACGAACAAAAGTTATTTAATAAAAGTGCTTTAAATGCTGCTTCAAAATTTAATGCGTTTGGAGCAACATTTCTCACGCCTAAACTTCTTACAGTACCAAAGAAGTTTTCTATGGGATCCTGGTTAAAGTTTCTGCTAAACATGATGTCCAACCCATATTTTTTATTTAATAGTTTCCATACCGCTTGCATGCCCTCCAAAGTTTTTATAAAATTTTTTATAGAAGGGACAGTTTTTTCTGTCAATCGAATTTCATTGCCTTGGGTTTTTTTTTCAATGAATTTCATATTTTTTTAAAATTTTAAAGAATCTTGCCACAGTTTGTGATGGGGTGAGTTCACCTTTACACCAGCCCTGTAAATCTTACCGTTTATTGGTACAAAAGTGTTACTATTAAGGCTATCAAATAATTTATCGAGTATGAGGACAAATGGCGTAATTTGGGAGCATTCAGAGTCCAGTCTCCCAGAATCAACCAAATGCTTTGCAGCAATGGCGACGCTGTGGCTAAATAATTGAGTAGCCGTTTTGACTCTCATTTTGTTCATTTTTTGCGGATTAATATGGTCTTCCGTCAATTTATGAAGAATTCTTAGTTCTCCATATGTCTCGTCTGCTGCATACAATTTTTGGAAATATTCCCACTTGACAAATTTCTTCGTTCCATCTTCAATATCGATGTAAATTAGATCTTTGGTGATGAGATTATTCCTAATCCCTTTTAAAAGGTGAGGTGTGTCATAGAGAGGTATGATTTTATTCTTTCCTATTATTATTACATCATTTTTCCACTCTAATCCTTTTTTCAAATATAAAGATTTAGAATCTTCCAACAAACTATCAATGGCACCTATGTTAACAGTGCTTTGATCACATATTGTGCTAATGATTATCAAACCAGTAGCTTGCACATGCTGTGTTACTTCTTTAATACATGTTTTCAATTCAATTTTATTAAGACAGCTTGTGAAGTAATAAGCAATTGGCTGCTTAAAATTCTTTTTTATTCCTCTCACCATAAATACTAACACATGATCGGCTATTGCGTCTTTGCCTATGGTAGTAAAACCTTTAAGTACATCCTGAGCTGCATTATAATGTACTTGTGGATTTATCGACATTTCGTCAAATATAAGGGTGCACAGACGATCTTCTTCACTCATGTCTTTTACTGTCTGTTTTAATTTTTCAAATATCATATTATTAATGCCTGGTAATATTTTGATTTTTTGTAACATAATTTTTAATGATTTTGTTGATGGCAATGTAAAACATTTGGAAAGAAGTCCATAACATTTTGGACTTCTTTTATATAGTGAAAGAGCTAAAATTTTCTCTTCATTTGTGAAGCGATGTCCCTTTGGAGCTTTTTTAGTTTCACGGAACTGGATTGTAGTAAATAATTTTGCAGGCAAACTCATTTTGCTCGTAATTCTTTCCAAGGCCTTGTCATTAGACATCTTAACAGCATTTGCTAATCTGGATTTATAATTTCTGTTTTTCTTTCTCAATCTAGATATTTCACTCCTTAACTTCTTTAAATTATGCTGCATACCTGGATAACAGGTTAACCCTTGTAGATGTGTGCCTTTGTCTGGAAACAATCAATATAACTTTAATTACTTGTCTAATATCTTTAAACAAATAATTCTTGTGTGTATATATCTGAATGTCAGAATATACAATCATATTAGTTTATGCATAATATCTTCTCTAATCAATATAAAGTATAATCATAATTTTAAAACAAACTAATGTAAATGGTAATAAACAAATGTATATATACCTTTATACAGAGGCACTCTCGCTGTATTGGATTGACCCACTTTCATACAGTATGAATGATCCTTGTTAATTGTTGTTATATGACAATCATAATCTGAAAAAATAAAACATTTTTATATTTGATCAAGTTTATATTCACAAAGCCATACATACTGATAAATCTAATACCGATTAAAAAAAACAAATATCTTTAATAATGTTTAAAAAAACACCAGCCACAAAGTTACGTCTTGGGATACCAGGAGCTAGTGAAATTTCAAGCATTGTAAAAAAATCGCCAGCTCTTTATAAATAAAACATTTTCTTACATAAATTTCAATTTAAGAACTTAAGTCTGTTATTACAACCACAAAAACATTAATATTTTTAATTGTAAATATGTACCTGTTGTTAGATGTCTTCTGGATGGCTCTGGTGGTTCACAGGAATCAACAGTTAGTGATTCGGTTTGTGTGGTTTCTGAAAAACATAAATGTTTTTTAACCGACTTAAAAAAAAGGAGGTTCTCAATTCGACCTGTATGTATTTTTGGGTGCGTTTATCTCGCGTTTGGCTGAATCGATTTTAATGCGGTTTTCAGCATATAATAAGTACACAATAAATGAAATGAAAATGTTTTTATTCAGGTAAGCTTGTTACAAGCACTTTTGAATCGTCCAAAAATATTTTTCCCCTACCACTTGTTCAGGACGTCTTTTAGCTGACAAGAAGAACAGGCGAAAGAAACTTTTTATCATAAGTAATGACATTTACATAAATCATGTCATTACCAAAATAATACATATATTAAACAATAATAAATACAAGTTTCAAAGTCTGTAGGACATAGGTTGGTACATACCTATAATTAATTGTTATAGAACAGAGCGAAGGCTATTAATTCCATGCATTGCGGTCCTTAAAATAATCATCAACTTTATAATAGCCTTTACTCATAAATAAAACTGACTTCAAAGTTAAAAATAATACCTACTTATCTCAAAAGTGACTTATTCAAAATAATGCTATTGAAGTTGGGCGCCTATCATTTAATTAATAACCTAAAGAAAACCTCTGCCCGCTGTTGAGATAAGTAGGTATTATTTTTCCTTTTTTAAGTTCTATTTTAGGAAAATCCAAATATAATTATTTAATGTTGTTTTTCTTTCTCTTATTTAACTTTTAACATTTTGTAGAAACAAAAAATAATAATAATATTATTAATGTAGTTATTGTAATGAAAGTATTACCTGTAGGTTGGGATCTCTTTGATGATGCTGGTTGTGCACATGCTGGTACATCAATTTGGGTGTCTGTAAAACAATTTATTACAAAGTCTTATTACCAATCAGGTTTTAATACTTCAGAAAAAATCAGCCCAGGAGTATTTTAACAAATTCAGGTTAGAGAATGGAGTTTTGAAAAAATGACAAACTTTTATCATTATTTATTTTTAAATACACATTTACACATCGAGAAGCTTTAACTGGCTACATCTTGTAGCATGCATAGTAAACAACACAGGAGGGGAATGTATTATTCAGAAGGCAGCAAAAAAAAAAAGATTTAAGAAATTAAGTATATTTATAGAAAACTAGCTGACCCGACAGACTTCGTCCTGTCAAAAAGATTTGTAATGTGGCAGTTTTTTTGCCTACGTATTTAAAAAAATTCTCCTGAACAGAACCGTCACCCTGGTGATAGGGCGTTGTGAATAAAAAATAATTAAATAAAACATATATAAGGATTTAAAAGTAAGTAATCGCTTTATTGTTAATCATGTGAATCATAATTATTATTGCAATGTATTAATAGTAATAGTATTAAATATAGAAAAAAGAGATTTTTATGATCATAAAAACACATTACACACAACAGCATTATAAAAGTAAACTATTCGAATTAAAAAAATATATAAACATTCTCAAGGAAAAATGCTGGAAGAATCCATCTACCTGTACCCCGGAATGGGACTCGAACCCATTCGCGATCCAGGGACTGCTCTAACCAATGAGCTATCTAGGACCCAACAGCTTTGCTACTACAGAGCGTATTTTCATCAATGTTCCGGCAATACATGTAATGACGTGGAAACTGATGCATTTTATCTCGCGTGCCGAAACTAATACAAAAGAAACGCGAGTTTCGGAACGCGACATTAAACTCCTCCAACTATGTATTCTGTGCTCCAACGCACACACGCACATTGTTTTGATAGATATGATCTTTGACGTTAGGAACACACCTACATTGCTTAGACAACAGTGAGTGCTTGTAATTTAATATGAACTTTATACCATAGCAATAAAGCTCAAATTGACTACGTTTTAGTTACAAATCATTTGTATGGGAAAGAGAAAAGGGCTATTTCTAGGGTTTTTCCAGCAATAATTCTAATTTTTCTCGCCGTAAAAACCATCCTTGAACTTCAACGAACATTTTAAAAAAAGATTTGGCCAAATTGGTCGAGGCGTTGTTGAGTTATGCGCTTACCAACACATTTTGCGATTCATTTTTATATATATAGATACTAAGAAATTATTGCATGCCTGGAGCTTGTGGGAGTTGCACAAGTGGGTCCGAGTGGAAAGACAGGGATTTAAGTACTAGGAAACTGGGAACATTAACTAACGTTATGTAGGTTACATAATGTAAGTTAATGTTCCCAGTTTCATTATGTAACCTACCATATAAAAAAAATTACCTTGCAAAAGAAATGTAGATGCTGATGTAGAAGGTAGATTTCTATTCCATTCTAAAATCATTGTAGACAATGCTGAAAACAAAAATTAAATATGAAGGTTTTTAATTACTATTCAGTAATTTTAGAAAACGTTTTGCCATACTTACTAATGGATAGATGAAACCGACCATAGGGATTCATTATTGTTATATTCATTATTAAACCAAAAAAAGGTGTCAAAAATTAAGATTTTTTGTTTTTTTTTTTAAATACACATGATTCATTTGAAGTCTTAAACCTCACCAAGGAGGAGGGAGGGTCAAAAAAATATTGAAGAAACATCATGTGATTAATGGACGGCCCCATAGCACTATTTGTTTGTTTTGCCAAGTATTTATTTCACACACAAGTGTCAAGTATAAGTTAAAATTATTACTTACTAGGTAATTGTAATGTAGGTACAGCCAGTTTATTTAAGCGGTTGTTACGGTTTTTTACATTTTCAGCAAAATGTCTGTCACAAACATATCTGTTTTTATAAATGACTTCATCTGTCATGCCACTAAGAGATTCGGCAGCTAACTCAACCCAGGTTTTAAATAGGTCAGGATATTTCATAGGGTTTGGAAACTTGTGAATGGTGACACCTGAAAAAGCAAAATGGGTCAATGTTTAATAGGTTCATATTCATATTTAACATATTCAAATTAGTTATGTTATAGAAAACAGCATTAGAATGTTTAAGTTTTATGATTATGTAAATTTTTTATTTATTTTATTTGTATGCTTTTACCACATTTATTCTTTTCAACATAAAGATTCAAATTTTGTAAGTACGATCATACTTAATTCAGTCTATATAAATAAATAATATAAGAATAAATACTGATTAATAGACGGTATAAAAAAAATGGCAGAAAAAATATGTATATAATAGCAAAAAGGCAAATGAAATAGTGTTCATTGCGATACATGCCTGTATCATGCATTAATGCATTTTTTCACCAAAGACTTTTGATTTTATACGTACCCGTCGTGATACATCCAAATACACAGAGGTTAGAAGAAGGCATGGTTAAATAAATAATGTCCAATATCACAAAACTTAACAAATCCTTACACTACTTAACTAATCGTGTCCAATATCACAAAACTTAACTAAATAGTGTCCAGTATCACAAAATAAGCTATCGCGAAATCGAAGGCGGCCGGCACGTAAACCTTGCGGAGGAAACTTAACTCAACGCTAGGAAAACGTGGATGAACCTGTTCGATATTTCGTCAAATCTAATTTTTCATGTAATTACGGAGGAACAGCAGCTCAACTCAACGTAATTACAGTCCAAAACAAGGTGCAAGCGCAACGACAACGACACGACAACAAACAATCGGCCATTTGCAATTTTTGAAAACTCACTAAAATATCGATATGTCATCGATTTGAACAATTACATAAAATACAAGTAAAACAAATTAAGATACATATTACTAATCTTAAAATTACAGTTAATGAGATATTGATGTCGAATTACCTTATTTATCAAAATAATCATTGATCAAAAAGTTCTTAACAAAATTTATTTAATTATAATCAAATAGAATCGATAGTCACATTAAACCTAATCGATAGTCACATTTGACTTCTCAGTATTTTATTTTAGTGCCATCTAGCGAAAATAATAGGATTGTTTTTAAAAAATGCGGAATTTTGTTCATAGATGGCCCTCTGTATCAAGAATTTTTACATTGTTAGGCAGTTTCCTACCCCTGCTTGTCAGTGTCAAGAAGTACTCTTTAGTATCAAGTCAACTGAAACGTCAATGAGGACGAATTAAAAAAATAATTAGTCCCCGAAATCAAACTAGATGTCGCTACGGTACTTTCTTGATTTCTCCATGACCACCTTTTCGGTTTTCTTTCATGTGTTAAAGTAAATAAATTTTCAAAACTCAATAAACAACTCATATTCTATTTCTACTTTTTCGTATTTATATTGATATGTTATTTAAAAGGAACGAAAATGACTATCTTTGGTCCATTCGTTTCCAGCAAAAATCTACTTTGGTAGGGTCGCCATCTAGTGAAGCGGTTTCGTAATACTTTTTTTTTAAACTTTCTCATTACTAGAAAGTTTGATCTCTAAACTATCGTATAGAACATCAATTTTTTTTTAACTCTAACTGATTTTATAGTTTGATTGCGTTAACTATTTTTTTTTTAAATATTTCCTCATTCTCTTTGGTCACAGTAATTCTCTGTGGTAAATCACCAATCACCATAGAGTAAATTGTATGAAAACCATCAACTATAGGATGAAAGTCAATGAAAGCACCAAAGAGCGAAAAGCACTGAAAAAGAAAGGGAAGAACGGAGTGAAAAATAGATCGTAAAAGTAATTGCTTGAATGTTGTGTTTAATTTTTCTGTAAAAAAAAAGCATTATATCTTGAATGAGAAGTTCATGTATTTTTGGAGCATAAGCTGTAAAAATGTGGGACTCGCCGTTCTTGACTTGTTTATTTCTGTATATATTTTTTTGCCAAATTATCGCAACCAATTCTCGCACTTCTAATATTTGGAAACTGAACGTTGAAGAAGATGTAATCGTTGATGGGAATACTTTACCGCAGGTACAATAAAAAATGTTACTTTGTTTCATGATTGTCATAATAATAAATGGGTATTAAAAATGTATTACTTAGCAAAAGTTCCTAAAACTCAACCAATCTGTTTAGTTTAAATGCTTTATTATTTTTTCTTTATTACCTTTAAAAGTTATCTTGGAGTCCATTGATTCTATAGTTCGTATAATCAATATTATCATTGGATTTTGCATATTTTTTTAACATTTTTTAGGATGAATCTGATAAAAATAAAATGAGTGAAGGGGATTCGGTTTTCAATATTATAACATCAACAGTTTATTATGGAAACAGTTGGAGTAAACATGGTTTTGACATGTTTTGCACAGATTGCCAAATATATGAACAACAGAGGTATTTATATATAAATTTAAATGTAACATTTATAAATTTATAATTAACATTTATAAATCAATTATGAATTTATCAAAGGCAAGTTGAGCTCACCTGTATCTGGAAGATGAATACCATTATTTTTAATTTTTTGTTTAAACTGGTGACAAGTAAATAAATTAGATTTCTAGTGCTTATGAATTTCAACCTAAGAGAAAAGCAACTTATTCCATTTATGAAAACACACTGGCTGTTAATATCTATGAGTTTTTTTTTTCATGTAACATGAGGATTGCTTGTGGTGTATACCAAATTCTTCACATTTCCCAAATGAGGCTTTGATATGTGTAACTTTGTGTTAACCAAAGATCTGCTAAACACATATTCTATACTTGTACTTATGGTAGTATGTACTTAAAATTAAACATTATAATAATAGTATGTACTATGTGTTTGAATAGCTACTTTTTATACTAGTCTAACTGAACCCTACATCATTGCCATATCTTAAAAACTTGTATAAGAAATGTGATAAATTTACACTAGTTATGTCTGTGTATATACAGTATATATGTATATATAATACTACATTTTGTAATCATAATTTATGTACCTACATATCTTTTATATAAAAGTGATTTTATAATTATAACAGTCAAGATACAGTTTGGAAAATGATGATTGAAATATGATTTAGATGTAGAGCAGTTCCTTTCTTCTAATATTAACTTTTTCATTATATTGGAAGTTTTATGTGCAATATTTTTTTTATTTATACAGATCATTATTATTATATTTTTCTTTGTAGAGCTGGCAGTGAAAATAATGATGAGATATCACAAACAGAGATGAATGGAGATGCAGATGATGAATATTTGGATTGCGGTAAAGCTGTTAACTTTACCTACTATGATAACTTAGTCGGTGTGGCACGCCGCCACAGACACCCTAATGTACCTGAACCCCAGGTAATCCTCGACAATTCAAATTTTATATAACATTCACTATTGTAAGGCTAATTAATTCAAACGATATTCATTATTGTTAGTCTAGTGGATCTTATGGGAGAGAAATCCATAAGGGGAATAATAGGTTCAATAAAATAAATATTCAACATCACATCCATTGATCAGATTCCAAAATGAGTATCAATAAAGGAACCTCAACACCTGCGCAATATAAAAATGACCATTTTCTACATTGACCTAACCGGGAATCGAACCTGGAACCTCAGAAATGGCAACAACTTGTTGAAACTGGTATGCAAATCACTCAGCTACAGAGTTGAAATATGAGACTGCTGTTGGATACTTTTTACCCACTACTACTAAATTACTACTAATTACCCACCAGTATTTATGATTTTTGCTGAATCCACATAATTATAGGTCAACCTCCGAATGCAAGTCAAAGATTGTTACTATAAATAATTTTCTAATATGATAATCCTTATAAAATCAAGGTAAAATACTCAAATTACCACTTTGGTCCCTTTCACTATTGCATATACACATGATTAAATAAAATATTTTCTGGTAATGGAAAATTATAATAAATTCAAACTCAAAGGTACTCAAAAGTACATATGACAAAGGCCACTCTTCAAGCATTAAACCCAAATTTTATAGAACCAAATTTAAGATATTGTATGGACAATTTATGCTATAGTATTAACTATCCTCCCTTCTGATTCACATCCCAGATAATATAAAAAAAAATAATAATTTAAAAACATTTAAAACTAAAATCAAACAATATTTAATTGAAAAACTTGTGATAACTAATTTACTAATAATGCAACATGCAAAAAGGCAATCAACAGATTGAGTACGAATGACAGTACATGGGAAAACATTGTTAAGTTTGTGTTGTACCATTCAGTTGCACTATTGTACATAAATATATTTTATTGAATAGTAAATAAAAAAATTACAATGAAATGAATTGTGCTTAAAAAATGATTTTTATGTTGCAGGTGGCTCTTATATTTACAAAGAAGAAATCATATAAAAATGGAGTCACAGAATTAGACATAAATGCATTGGAGAAAAGATTAAAGAAAGCAAAAAGGGAGAAACCAAAGTCAGTTCAATTGTACAATCAAATTGGTAATTTCTGGAGAATCAAAGGAGATACACGTCAGTCAATAGAGTGCTTCAGAAGAGCTCTAGCAGTGTCTCCATACAATGCAGAGGTATAACTCAGATCTTGTGTCTCATGGTAATTCAAAACATGGAACCTTTTTTTCAGCCACAATGAATCAGATGCAAGACAATATTATAAATACCAATCTATTACTTTCTTTGCTGGAGCACAGTCGTAAAAAACACACCTGTGTCCCTAGAATGGGCCATAACCCAACTTACAGTTTCAGTGGGTTGTTTCGCAACCCAACACCAGTTCGTATAGCATGATACACTCAAGGAACGCTTTGTCTATTCCAAAATTTCACTTCTATCTGGTTAAGAGTAAGATGTTGTATAGGCGCATCCAAGAAAAGTGAAATTTGAAACATTGTTGAGTTATACATAGAATTGACAAAATACGTTTGACATATCGTCAAATAGGATGTAAAAACTGATACTTCTTTGGATTTAATATATAGTTATATTTGAAATGAAATTAATTCAATATTCTTATTTAAGGCAGGACAGAGTCTGTCGAGTCAGTTAGTGAATAAATAAAAAATACTTACAGGTATTATTGAATCTTGCACGGGTGCTGTTCACCTTGCAATACCTCGACGATGCGATCTACCTGACGCGGCGATCACTTGAAGTTCAGCCACCGGATCGCAGCGCTTGGCAACAGTACTTCACGCTAGGCGAGATTTTTAAGGCATATGGACATTACCAGGTAGGAACTTTAGTAACATACTCATGAAATTGCGATCTTAATACTGTGTTTATAGTCTATTATATACTAACTGAGCGACAGACCCAATTCAGATTGGTGATTGTTAAAGATTGTAGATGCAGCCAAGATGAACTGAAAATCAAGTTTAGTCAACAACAATGGTGAACTATTCGCCAGCGTCAATATCTGAGGATTCTCTACCCTTAGTCTATCATTAAAAATCCATATGTGCCTGGATATTTGAAATGTAAATTTCAGTATCTAGGTGCTTCATACAGACGCTTAACCGTTGCTCAGACAGAAAAGAAAATCTTGCTGCTCCTTTTCACTGTATAGGATTCATTTCAAACTCATTCTTGCTTCAGCTATACGACTCTGGAACGTATTCCCTCGCCATAGTCAAACTGTTCTTAATAAATTAAGTTTCAAACGTGAACATGAATAGCTTCCGAATTCTACTACCGCTTGTAATTAATCTGGCATATTTGGATTTATCTATTATAGGTATGTATATACAACGTGTCCCAAAATTCAACGATAAGCGGGCGCCTAGAGGTACCCTTGCTCATGTGTACTTATGGAAAAATAAGAAAAAAATTATATCTTATCTTTTTTATTAAAAAATTAAATTCGAAAATCTTCGAAAATTTACACCTTTTATGATATTTTCAACTACCACGACCACAACTTCTCAATTATGTTCAATCTTTTTTTGGTATCGGATACCTAAGTAGCACTACTATTCGCTACAACTCTTTCGAAAATTTTCGAATTTTATTTTATAATAAAAAAGATTAATAAGATATAATTTTTTTCTTATTTTTCCATAAGTACACATGAGCAGGTCTACCTCTTGGCGCCCGCTTATCGTTGAATTTTGGGACACGTTGTATATATATATTTATTTATGATATATAATATATTTCTTATGTATATTCCATCATATGCATTTCGATTGTTCTTGTATTGTATGTGTGTCTATATTGACTTTATTTAGTCTCTATTTCCTAACTCTCCGATTGACTGGTAAAGAATGCCTACTGGCATTAAGTCCATTTGTACGCCTTATTTTGGTAAATAAGTTTAAATAATAAATTTTCAGAGCATAGACATCAAGATACACAATATTTGGTCAATCATATAACACCGCCCTCAGTGGAAATTGTTTAACTTCTGCAATCGAAGATGTATTTAAATGTACACGGTTATAGCTGGGACCGCAAAATAGCATACATTGCAGCTCACGTATTCAGTCGGCTAATGCGTACGTTTGTATACAGCTAAATGCTAAATGCTTCTGTAATATCGTTGCAGGAAGCGGCAGTACACTTAAGACATGCACTTGATTTGAGACCAGACTTCGAACCGGCGTTAGCAGCACTGAAAGATATAGAAAATATACCGGAGGCCTCTGTGCATGTCTACACATTACTAATTATTGTTTGTTTGGTAAGTTAACAGATTTATACCAAAATGTTCTATGTACATATAACTTTAGTGCACAAAAAGTTTTTAATTAATTCGCTTTGAATAAGAAAGCAACAAAGCGGTTAACAACGGTTAAATTACTTGTTCCGACTTTTTTCGGGATGCTTCCGATTCGATATATTAGAATTGGCAATTTTAATATGACGATACGTTTTGTATTTCGCGCATTCTAGGATGACCCCTGCAAAATTTGTCTTTTTTTTATTTGTCTTGGGCTGTCCATCTCACATAGCCCATTTTGCTAGTTCAGGGTTTCTCAAGCTTTAAGACTCCATAAAAAAGATTGATCGCTGATTAGCTGTTATCTAGTTTTTTTAACTAATCAACCCCCTCTCGCCCCAAAGATATCAAATCTTATATTCTTAATATGCCTAAAAAAATAAAAATTGCCTAAAATATCCACTTTGTCCTCGGCACTCTGAGATGGGACTCGCCACGACTTTTCGCAATCCTGGCGACTGCTCTAACCACTGAACTACCCAGAACCTAACAGGACTGACACATTTTTCAAGCACTTGTTACTTTTTTGCTACTACAGAAAGTATTTCTAAGCATTTTTCATTAAGAATATTTTTCAGTATAGCTTTGTGAATGCAAAATCGATCAAATATAATTAATTAAATCTTCTGTTAAAAAAAGTTCCATATTTCAATAAAAAGTAGTTGAAATTTGCGCTAGTTGTTTTAGATGTTCTGATTGCGACATGATTTTTAACTTTTTATACTTTTCAAGCTTGCTTTGAATCATCATATCGGCTATACTGCTTTATAAATATCGCCCTAAAAGAGTGTATAGATTACTATATACAAACAACTTTTTTTTTTACAAAATTTATACATTAACATTATATAAGACATCAAATTGCATATGCAGGTGATGGGAGTATTATTGGTGATCCTATCGTCAGTGGACAGCGGCAACGAAATTGAAGAGCACAAGACACAGCGGCATTTCAACAGGGCAATGGCGATGCGTTCCCTCCGCGGCGTAACACTCCCAGGCTCTCGCAGCCGCAAGAAAGGTGGCAACTAAACGCGAGCGATCAACGTCTGAGTTTCCGATCTCTGCAAGTACTTTATTTATTATTACATTCTCCAATTCATTTCATAAAGATCTTTGTTGACTCTGATAAACTGACAAAATATAAAGTGTTATATTATTATGTGCCAGGACGTGGGGTAGACATGTTATACTGAACAGCTTTTACTATGGAAGCTAAAACTTATCCACCACACAGTCTTGATACATGATATTAATTTTACACCTTATATAAACTATATTATAATTAATAGTTTTGTGCACATTTTTATTAGCAATTCGTTGACTGATCATAATATTCCTTAGTTATTTATAACTTTATTTTTTTTGTTTAAGGACAACTATTTTTTTTTTATTTGAAACAAGAATTTGCAAGATTTAAAACTCAGGCCCGGGCGATGTATGAACAAAATGTAAAATTGTCGCTTCATTAAATGCAAATTACGCGTGATGCCGATAGATCTAAAAACGGTTTTTATGTATTCGCTATCGATGCCTGCGGTAAAGAATGTATTGTAGTACTGTTCCTTTTGATATTTTTCTTTACATTTGTGAATAATATGCTCAAACAAGTTAACATGATTTTGTTAGTCTGTAACTAGACACGATGTAGTTATTGGCTATATTTATCTGTCTTTAAAAACATTTATTGTTTCTCTTTCCAACATAAATATTAAAAAGAATTTATGTGTATTTACTTGACTAATCAAATTATATTACAATCAGTTAGGAGCCATACATTACTTCGTTCATATTTATTTTCACCCCCTCCCCGTCGTTATTACACTGGCATAACGACCTCGAGAATTGATCGAGAATAAGATACCACCGTAGGATACATTTCCGACCGACTTCTCGAGTCTCTCGAGCTGGTTATGCTACTACGTTCGTTATTGTCATACTAGATTAGTATTATCTCAGATATTTGACAGTTCCGCAATTAATTTCTCATTTAAATATTTAACTAAAAACATTTTGACGTAATAAAAAGCTTTATTGAATGTAGTTCAAAAATAGATGTTACACATCCACCCCTTGTCCCAGTCACACTCCCTCTTTACGTGTGGCGTAATCTATGGATGATGATTAAAAAAAAAAATATATACCTACTTGTTAGCTTGTTGAGTTAAATATATTGTGTTGTGAATAATTGATTATACTAACTCGAGATGCTACGACAAAATTGGCAGGTTGTGTTAATATTTAATACTCTTAATAAAAATGGAACAGTATTACTATACAAACATGAGGCTAATGTACAAATATTATTTGTGAACTGACCATATTCGGTCCTGCCATGTCTAATTTGATCTCTGCTTTGTAGTCTTCTTTACCTTCAGTATACTTTAATGTTATAATGTGATGATAAAATTTACAGATTACAAACTTTAGATTTATGTAATACCAATTCATTGTTTAAAAAGTTATATTGACAAATTAAATCATAAGCGTTATTAGACAGTTCGAATTTTATGAATTTGAATGTTCTAGTTTGTGAGAGTTAAAAGCATACTTAATATAGGAGAAGAGGACACAAAGCCCTCATTCGGGAAGACACGAATTGATTGAACGGCGCGTCTGCCTCTTGATTTGCAACCTAGTCATTCACTTAGACAAGTCGGGCCCATCCCGCCCCGGTGTGTATTAAGTATTGTAGTGCATGCATGCAAAATAAACTTGTTAAGTGTTCGTAGCGTCTAAGGATATAAAGAGGCAAGTAAAATTTCGAGATTGGTAAACATGTACCTGTTTTCAGTGGTTCTTTTGTTAATTTTTGACTATTTATAACTTAATACATGATTGTCTTAGCATCTATGTTTTGTGTGTTATTTCTTTGACCTCTCGCTCGGAACGATTACGTAAAAATCCGAACTGGAATAAATTCAGGTGTCCCAATTCACTTCGAAAGCGACATCCGCTTCACCTTGAATTGGTATTAACGTTTCGTAGCTTAAGTGATTAGTTTCGAAATGGCATAAGAATATCTGCGACACATGAATCAAACATTTTTTATTTTTTATACGAAAATGTAATCAAAAGAATTTCTATACTAATAAGTTAAGCGGATTCGCTTTAGAAGTGAATTCGGACACCCAAGTAATTCAAATTTGGTTTTGGATATTTACAGAGCCGCTCTGCAGTATCGTTACCTTTTGCGTATTGTTTCTAAAGCTATCTATTTCAGATTTTTTTAGTAAAACAAGCTTTTAAAAAATTATATGATATTTATTTATAAAATGTATACACATAACTAAGAGTCCATCTTTGACCATTACTTTGACCGAAGCTGTCTTTATATAAGCAAGCAAATTTCAATGCTGATTGATAAGACCTAGCACACTATTTCAGATCAATAAATAAAGAAAATAATGCAAATTCATGATTGACCCAAAATTTGTGCTGGATCCGTCTTGTTTTGAATTTACAATTAGACATTACATTGTACAATTACTTACACCTAGTTAACCAAAACAAGAGTAAAATGATGTGTTGACCATTTATTATTATAATGACCTTTGTTCATTGATGGAAGGTGATTACTTAGTAGTTAAATTAAGCTGAATCATGGATACCTAGACGGAATATATCGTGCTGAACAAAGAACGATTCTCCAAGTGGTTTCAAAACGAATGTCTGCATGTATGGGTGCGGAGGGTCATCATCACACTGAAATTATAAAATAAAAGACGTAATTTAGGAATAAAATACTCTATTGTCATATTTACCTTTGCACTTGAAAGTAAAAACTCAAGCAAGTATGATTACAATTAATAATGACATAACAAGTCTTAATTGTTAAGATCATTACTGTATCATGCTTTTTATATTAGGTTTCAAAACTAAAGTGAGACAGAAACAGAATTGAATTTACATTGTCAAGATGAAAATCGAGTTTATCTTATATATATTTATTTAGTAGCACTACTGGCACTTCAGTTTCAATTAATAAAAAAATAAAAATCAAGCATACTAGAACAGCCAAACTTTAATAACATACTTTATAAGATATGCTATAATGTGAATAAAGAAGTTTAATGTTCCTTCTAATTTTAATTAATAATCTCAAGTCTAAACAAAACTTACTATACTTAATATTTTTTGTCATAAACACATTCGAAGGATGTCTTTCATACAAATTCCTCAGGGAACTGCATAGCCCCTTACAGCAATAAATAATAATAAATTCATACAATATAATTATAATTAATTCGTTTTTGATTAGCAACATAGGGAAAACGGTAAATTTTATTCTGGACAATGTGCAATAACTTCTTTTCAAAAAATTTTTATTGCACATTGTCATCTTACAACACTCTATTTCTACCGAGATGTTGTTAAATGTTATTAAAACAATTATTTCTTATTTACAACCAGAGGAAAGTATGGTTAAGGGGTTAGATAAAATTTTCTATGGTCAGTAATTAACAGCATTAACATAAACCATAATTGAGAAAATTGTGATACATAATATTTGATATATTCATGTCTGATTTTAGATGGAGCAAAATAATGTGAAAGCATTAATTATAAGTGAAAGCAGGGACACTACTCTTATGCTTTCTTACTTTGTCTTTGTAGTTTAAATTATTCTTATACATCATGAAGTGCCAGCCTGAACATGTCGTGCTCTACATAGAATGAATTCCCTATTGGCTTCAATACAAAAGTTTGAAGGTATGCATGGGGTTGATCATCATCTGTCTGTTATAAATGTAACAATAAATAATTATTTTCCCATAATATTAATTGAATAAATTTAACAAGAATCTTTAATGTAAATTTACCTGGAGTCGACCGAGAACATTAATTAGAACACCTCCATCGAACATAGGTTGTGAGTCAACAGACGTTATTAACCTACCAATCTTTTGAAATGTCAAACTCTGAAATAAAGAGAATAAATATCCATTATTTACATTTATTATGTCAATAACAAATTGTAAAGTACATCAGTTTATAATAATTTCCGCATTATTTTTTTTTATTCATATACTTTTGCAGGTATTAACTGTGATCCAGTTATGATAAACGGAAAACATTCTGTTTTAATTTTGCAAACTTCATCTAAAAACTTTGATGTGCATTTTAAGGGAGAAGCAGCTCCCAAAAGAAATAGCTCATAGAAAGTGTGGAAGTGGAAGTATTTGAAAGGTAAAAACATGAGTAATCAAGAGCAAGCATCAAAGTGAGAATTTAAACTAGTCTCTCTAACATAAACAGGTGATTTCACAAATTTTCCATTAACTTATATTAAAAATTACATAAATACTGAAGCTTTATAGTGTATATTGATTTATCATATTGAAAACAAGTTTATTTTACATATATATAAATCATATGTATAAAATATTGAACATTAAGATATATAATAGATTGCAAAAAAATAAAAACAGTATCATTGATATTGGTATTATATGTGACAGAGGTCATAAACTTAATGAAAAGTAATTGTCACTTACATTTAATTTTTCCATAATTTTAACAGCACCTTGTAGTTGAACACCCTCGAAAGTCATGAAAGATGTTTCAACCTGAAATATAAATTCAGTTGGCATGGCTGCAACATAACAGTGCTTCAAATGGTTTAATTAGAGGCATTAAAATAATTGGTCAAAAGTGACTACGGAGTTACATCGTAATTGTTTGGGAAGATTTTTTGAGTTAACCTAAAAATCAACAGAAATACACTTTATTATTTAGCAAAGTTCATATTGTATTCCTAATGTTTAAACGAGATTTGTACTCTTAGAAATAATGAAAACCACTCACGTTGTACATATTGGCGAGTGTTGGTCGAGTTGCCGGATCATCAAACAATGTGTAATATTGCTGAACGAAACCTTTTCCAATGGCATCGTATTGAGGATTGAGCGCCATTTAGATGATTTTATTGATAAATTACCACTAAAATGACCAGAAATCACTAATTCTTATTAAAACACGGCCTTCTATGGGCCTTTTTTGTAAAAACCACAGACTAAGATTCCCTCTATGCACAGACTTAGTAGGTCCTCTATGTCACAGACTTTTTTGCGCAAATCAAAGAGTAAAGTATGTATACACCATAGACAGATAGAAGTATTTTTATAAAACAAAGACAAATTTTCGTACTCCATACAGCTTGATTTATAATAAAAATATGGTTTAAATAATTGGTCGAAATTAGAGTAAATAAAAGGTATTAAAAAGACTTAAAAGATTTTTAGAGCTTCACGTTAAAAACTCTGATATGTCTATTTTATCACTTAAGTCAAAAAAATCTAGTCGATACAGCTACGAATGAGTGTCTGATAAAATTTGTTCAATATTGAACTCTTGACAGAGCGTTCATAGTTGCTCTGATGGCATCTAAAAGCATTCAAGGTTTGGAGTTCGCCTATTCTTCGGTGTTTTTCCAAAACGAGAATAGAAGAGTGAAAATATTGACCTATAGCAACTTTTGGGTTATACAAATATCATGCTCGGAATCGGAAGTTGACATTCAAAATATCATGTTGTCTCTTTTCAGCTACTGACGTATGATATATTAAACAAAGGTGGCACTACTTGACAATACTATTTTTTTTACGTCACGTCATGACATATTGCGTTCGCCATTTGTAAACTAATATTTACGTATTCTTGCTAGTGTTGTTATTTTAACAATTGCTTTATGTCGATAATTATATTATTTAAGAATATAATTTTACATTACCAAAAAAATGAAAAAACGAAAATGGCTGAGTACTTTTGGAGCTTATATATGTTATGTATAATATTGGGTATGATGCAAAAGCTTTATCTGCCCACCTAATTTTACAAAAGTTCTTTTATGCGAACTTAAAATATAGAAAAATTGCGAGATGATACATTGCCAATTAAATATTAACGCTATTGTTTGCCGATTCAAATATGCATAAATTAACCTATTAATATAAAATCTCATAGTGTTTTAAAAAAGCCCGCATACGATTAAGAAATTAAACTAAAGAAAAGTGAGAAGTTGCTGAAATATAATTTTCATAAAAATTAGACCCGAACATTATTTTACAACATTATTGCTTGGGATGAAAATAAACGCCAATTATAGTTCACAATCCGACTTTATTTAATTAACAAAATCACAAAAAATAACTTACTCGAAATTCACACTTTAACTTCACTGTGGTCGCTTTACAACACTATAAGATCGTTAACCGCTCTAGCTATCGTTTCGAGTTTCGCTTCCGATTGCTTTTGCTTTCAGATCGCTTGTTCACTGAAGAATGCCGGGTAGTCCACGGCGTATTTATAGGGGCCGATACCACATCTAAAATGTTCTAGGTTGGCCTCGGCCTTACCGGTGTATTCGAAGCGTTACCACTCAGTTCTAAAACAGCGTACGATGACCCGTCATAGACAGTCTACATACACTGGCTTGCATGTCGACGAAAGGGGGGGCGGAGAGCAATAGAGTGCCCTTTTATAGTAAATAGCGGTACCGCCGGAAGCAGTCCCACCGGTAGGGATGGGCTTATCGTTACGCAAAAGGGCGTAAGATTGAATAGTGAGTCCGTCGCGGATGACGGGCTTAAATTTGGTCTCTTGTATTAAAAGAATGTCGACGTCCCTAGCATGCGCTAGTTGCCTGAGTTCAGGTATTTTCGTACGCTCGTAGGGAGTTGGCGTTGGATGAAACAAGCGAGACATCTACAAGCTTAACACGTCCGGAGGAGATTGCCACTACCGACGTCAGGAAACCTAACATGTTATTCGTACTTATGTTAGAGTACGTAATAACGCTTCGTGCTCGCATAGCGCCAAAAGGCGTTCATGCGCGGACGAAAATCGGCGGATCTTAACAGCAAGAATAGAGATCTCTCCCAGGTTGATTTCACGAATCATGAATAGGACCAAATTCATGTCATCAGCCAAGGAAGAGGGCGCGGAGTGGATGCTGGGGCAGAGGCGGAAGCCCTTGGAGGGGCTTTGCCACGGGGTAAGAGACAAAGGTACCGTTTTGATCCAGGCGCTTACCTTTCTTCTTAGAAGAGGGTTTGGAATTCGGCCAAAGGGTCGGAGTGTCTGCTGTGAGAACACTCCTTGGTGGCGTGCGACTCAAGGCACTTGACGTACTTCGGAGACGCGGAGCAGTTGGTCGCCGCATGGCCGTAAAATTGGCAGCCATGGCACTGCCCAAAGGTGCCGCGTAGGTGTGGGGGTTCGACTTTAACCCCAGTGTAGTATTTATATGTTGTCTATTGTTCATTTGACATTGTCAATATGACTGAATTCATATCTCTAATGTAACTAATATCTTTTAGTAGGTATCATCGCCATCTTTCATTCATTTCATTTTCATTTTACATGTAAAAATTAATTTATTTACTTGACATTGGCAGAATTGTGCGAAATGCGCAGATAAGCCATTAATTAAAAAAGAAGAAGAATATAACTAATATTTTTATGTTGGTTAAAGTCAATATTCTAATGATAAATGGTTATTTCTATCAATTTAATCAACATAAAGAAAGCTGATAAAAATATCGAAGGAGAAACCTAAATGTTCTACGGAAGAAATATCAAAACAAATGTCAAATATGTCTCGCTATCTCCGACCGGAAAATTTGAATCTGAACCGAATTCTGTGTTGGCCGATCTCAAACGGAACCATTGATTAGCTACGTTTACTAACTTTTTAAACGAAGAAGGTCCTCATATTTCTACTGAGTTGAAATTACGTTTGCTAATTAATCATTTGGCACCTACAATATTTTTCATAATATAAAAATTTTACCTTACAATAAAATTTGTATTATGTTTCCTCCTGACGTCCGAAGTCCATTATGAGAGAGTACATCGTTTTCTTACTTTTTATTTCCTGTAATGTCGCTATCTCCAGTTCCGTTTCCGCTGTACGTCCGCAGCGCCCCCTAGCGCCCTTAAGAAAAACTTTCTCCCGCCAAAGACAAGCCGCCATATTTGTCATTGTTCGGCTCATAATGGTGATAATGTTAACCACCAGGAAGACATTATGTGGACTTCGGACGTCAGGAGGAAACATAATACAAATTTTATTGTAAGGTAAAATTTTTATATTATGTGTTCCGTTAGACGTCCGAAGTCCATTATGAGAGAGTTGTTTGTTATCTCCTGGTGGCTTATAAGGAATGTAATAAAGTGCAACAATGTGATAATTGAAAGTATTGTATTAATTACCAATCAGGGTTATATAAACATTAGAAAAAAAAATTACTTTACATAGAATAGATTTAAATTAAATAAAGAATTTAATCATTAGAAAATAATAGAGAGAGAGATTGTTCATCAGTCACGTTATCATTATTGGATTCGATTTGTCTTAGATTTATTTTTTAATATTCTGAGCCAACGCAAAGAGTCCAAAGGACTTTCCGTTTGATTTTATAACTAGGAACATTGGTGAAATGAAGGAGGGTGTCAGAGGAGCTATTTCCAAAACCTTCTTCTTGATGAGTATATTTATCTCCAGCGACATTGCTTGCGAAATCGGAGTTTGAAAATTTTTCATTAGTTCTAAGCTTGGCAATACCAGAGGGGCGTGACTTTTGAAAGGTATTCGAGTTCCAGTTATTAAACTTAGTATCGTTTTCGGTGGGTATAACCGGGACCAATTCTTGTGGAAGAACCTCAAACATCCCCCCGTAAACGTGACCGAGTCATTTTCTTTTATTATGTCTTTTACTGGTTCTATCTTTCCGTCCGCCTCTTCTATTTGTAGAGAAATCTTCGAAGGGTTTTTGCGAACTACCGGTTTCTCTTTGCCCATTACGCTTCTTATTGGTGACTCGAAATGGCTTGTTCTCGAACGACGTAGAGGGTTGGGGAGATTTTGGCCTAGGCTGTTTTGTGTTACGATTTCCCACTTTTTCTATTTTATCCAGTCCTCCAATTTTTTGTATGTAAGACGATAATTGTTGAGGGTTAAACATATATTCGCAAGACGGAGGAATTTTCTCTAGATCTTCTTGAATATATTTATCTTTTACGGATTTCAGTAGTGTACGACGTCGTAGTTCAAGAACTTCCGCTCTTTTCCCACAAATAATTTGTAAGATGTCGTGAGATACATTCTTATATGCCGAGTCGTTTCCAAATAAATCCTTCAGTTTTGAATAAAGACTCGACGGCGTCATTTGCACATTAGATGTGGCAGACCAGTCAATCAGGTTTTGTAAAGCTGAATTTACCGATTCATTTTGTGCTAGAAATGCGTTCGATAGTGTCGCAAAACTACGTTCCATTTGAAACCATCTTAAAGGAGCGAAGGGGGTCTTCTAAACGTCGTATTTCTTCATTTACTTTTAATTCGATGAAGGCGGGGGTAGAAATATATTTTTTCTGAATGTCCGAATATCGCACTGAATTCCAATCAGGTGAATTAAATCTTTGCATGGAAGAAATTTTTGCTAATCTTTCCGGATTTGCTTTAGATATCGAGGGTTCTTTAACGGATACATCTAATTCTGCTATGTCACCTAGCTTTGAAACCGTTTCTACAGGAGGACGCAAAAAGCTCTCGTTTTCTATACCTAAATTTTCATTTGGGATTTCAAGGTTTGGAACTATTGTACGAGGCATAGAATTAATCTGCGTATAATTTGACAGTAAAAAACTATTCACGTGACTCACCAGTTGTTGAGATAGTATGTCAAACCTGCGATCCAAATCGGAGCTATCTATTATTCGGTCAGGTTGAGCCACCGACTTCTTCTTTTTAGCCGGCGGGGGACTCGCCTCGCGCGAAGCATCCGATGAAGATCCCCGCGACGATGAAGAACTTTGGGAACTTCTTCGAGGTGAATTTTTATCACTCATGATGTGAAGGTATCCACTACACGGTTATAAAAAAAAAATTTACGGAACGGAGACACTTTTTTCAAATAAATATTTGAAATAACACTTTATTTTATGTCACACGACACCAAAAACATAGAATTCTCTACTTTAATCTCGAAAATTCTTAAATTTTTCGCGACATTGATAAAATGCTCCAACCGTTGAAAAAAACGACGC